GATGAGCTGCGACGTGGAGGAGAAGCGTCCCTTCTACTCCACCATCTACGCGCAGGGTCCCCCGCCGCCATCTGGTTACAGCGGCGGCCCCTACGGTCCAGCCAAGCCAATGCCGCCTCCGGGCTACTTCGGTGGACGTCCGCCCATGGGTCCTCCCCCCAGCTCTCTGAACTCCTTTGGACCACCGCGCAAGGTTGGCTACGAGGGACCCTACAAGCCCATGTCCGGACCCGTCTACAGACCGAGCGGACCGGGCGGCCAGTTCGGAGGCCAATATCTGGAGCATCCTCCTCCGTCGGCCATCGATGGTTCCTTGGACGGCATCACCTACACGAAGCCCCCACCCGGAGCCCTGATCTACGACAGCAAGCCGCCAGGACCCATCTATCAAGGTGGTCCCAATGGAGGTCTCAGTCCCGTCTACAATGGCCCCTCCTCGAACTCCAACGGTGTTCCGCCCTACAACTTTGAGAGTCCCGAAGGCGGCATCCAGGGCTCACCCTCCTCCCTGAACGGCTTCTACTCCTCGCAGCAGTCCTCGTCCTCCTCCTCGGCAGCCACTTCCTCCAGCAGCAAGGTCGTGGTTGGGGCACCCATCGATGCGGGTCTCCAGCAGCACGTGCACCACCACTACCACCACGTCGAGGGCACGGAGGGAGTCAAGGTGCCCAGTGTGCCCATCCCCATCAGCTCTGGCCAGACGATCAACACGGACTTCAGTGCCCTGGCGCAATCCTCGGCCACGTACACGCCCCAGGCCTCCTCCTCCTCCGCCGGCTCCTACTCCCAGTCGAATGCCTTCAATGCGGGCTTCAATGGCGCCTCCCAGGGCGGACTCCTGTCCCAGGGCGCTCAGAGCGGCTTCAGCGGTCTCTCCCAGAAGCCAGGTCTCTCTGGTGACATCTACAAGCCCAGCTCGGGACTGGGCAGCTTCGGCAGCAGCTCGGGCGGCTTCGGACAGAGCGGCTTTGGAGCGTCACCCAGCTCCAGCTACCACAGCCAGAACCCCGACTACTACAAGAAGGAACTGCAGACAGGAGCCTCCAACAATTACAATGGCATCTCTGGAGGATATCAGGGACAGGGACAGGCACAAGGACAGTACCTGGGACAGGCACAAGGACAGGGTGGCTACGACACCGCTCGCCAGCAGATCGTCGACTGCCAGTGCGTTCCGTTCAACCAGTGCCCCGCTGCCGATCGCATTGGCCGCAAGGAGGATCTGATTCTGCCCATCGATCCCCGCAATCTGGGCAAGGACATCGAGGCTCTCAGCGAGGATGCGCCCGCTGGCAATGCCACCGCCAAGGCCGAGTCCAAGAAGGATGACAAAGAGGACAAGGATGAGAAGAAACGCACACGCCGCCAGGCCATCGAGGACCAGAAGGACCAGGACGACAACAGCGATCTGTCGCTCGATGCTCAAGGGGTAAGTGTCTCCCAGAAATTAGAAACCCAGACCCCTTAAGAATGTTTTAAGTAGTGGCCCGACTAATGCAAAATCACACATAGTTAATGACTAATCGATCGAGTTCTAGCAATAGCAAAAGCAATCCTCCTCTACCACACACAACCACGCATCCAATCAATCAATCAATCAATCAATCGACCTACCAACTGCACCCATCAACCAACCGATCAACCGATCAACGCTCCTCCAATGCTCAATGCTCAATCCAAAGAACCACTAAACCTCGTTTACCTCGTCGACTAAAACCAGCCTAACCAACGCACAGCCACAACAAAAACAAAACCAAAAACAACAACAAGGGATACCAAGGTCGCACGCCTGCATCCTGCAACCTGCATTCTGCATTCTGGAGTCCGCGTACTGATCCGTTCGTGTCTCCCTCTCAGCGCCAGGCGCCGCTCGCACAATCGCCCTTGGCCCTGCCCGCCCTGCAGGCCATCGAGCTGATCCAACGAAAGATTCTGCCCACCTACGGCGTGTCCTTTGGGCTACCCTATCCCAGCGGGGCATATGGCGGCTATCCGGTGAATGTTCTGGGCGATCAATATCCCGCACAGAATCCCAACTTTGGTTCCTTGGGGCCGAATGGCCTCAATCTGGGCCTGGTGAATGTCAATCCGCTGGTGTCCGTGCAGGTGGCCAAGACGGACTACGGAGAGAAGGTGGTGAAGCCGCTGGTCAATCTCCATGTCACACCCAATGCGAATATCATCCAGAAAGTGGGCGACTTCTTCAAGAGAAAGCCCAACGAAGTGCACAGCACACACTACCACCATCACGATCACTTCAGCGGCTACGAGCACCACGATTACGATCACCATGAGCTCCACGATTACCACGATCACCATGACTACGATCACCATCACTATGGTGGCTACAGTGGATCGGCGGGGCCCCACTTCAGTGTCGAAATGGTGCCGAGTACTCCGATCTTCGAGTACCACAGCGGCCCCTCAGCGCCCAGCTACCAGCAGCATCATCACCACGAGTCTCCGCCGTCGGCGTCTGCCTACGAGAGCTCCTACAACTCCGTGTATCCCGGCTCGAGTCCAGACTTTGGCTCGAGCGGCTTTGGCGGCTACGGGGAGTACTCCCAGCACGTGGAACGGAGCGTAAACGTGAGCGCGGAGCCCACATGGAACCCAACAGCCAACACGCGTCGGGGCAAGCAACTGACTCTGGGACCCTTGTACAACATTCCCACGCCTGCCCCAGGAGCAGCAGCGGGCAGTGCTTATGTCTCCTTTCCCAGGGATCGCAGGAGGCGGAGCGTTGAGCAGTCGAGGAAGCGTCGTAGTGTGTGGGAGAGTACTGCCGCGCCAGAGGCAACAGAGGAGGAGGTAACCATGTGTTGATCTTGCAGAAAGTCCCAGACCCAAACCATTCCCAAATCTATCCAAGTGTAATGCTAATGGAACTCCCCCTCCTCTTGCTCACTTGCAGCGCGCCTACTATGGCAATCGTCCCGTGGAGAAGACCTGCCGCGCGAACGAAGTTTGCTGCCGTCGTCCGGTGCGTCCTCAGGCACCGCCCCAGCAGCAGTTGGGTCGCTGTGGCGTGAGGAATGCCGCTGGCATCACCGGCCGCATCAAGAACCCCGTCTACGTCGATGGCGACAGCGAGTTCGGCGAGTATCCCTGGCACGTGGCCATTCTGAAGAAGGATCCCAAGGAGTCGATCTACGCCTGCGGCGGCACCCTCATCGATGCCCAGCACATCATCTCCGCCGCCCATTGCATTAAATCGTAAGTTTCAAAGCTGCCCAAGCCCCTCATCCGATCCCCCGATCATCTCTACAATCCTTTATCCTCTGTCCATCCTACAGTCAAAATGGCTTTGATCTTCGTGTCCGCCTGGGCGAATGGGATGTCAATCACGATGTGGAGTTCTTCCCCTACATTGAGCGAGATGTCGTCTCCGTGCACATCCATCCCGAGTATTATGCCGGCACCCTGGACAACGATCTGGCCATCCTGAAGCTCGACCAGCCCGTGGACTTCACCAAGAACCCGCACATCAGCCCCGCCTGCCTGCCCGACAAGTACTCCGACTTCACCGGCGCCCGCTGCTGGACCACCGGCTGGGGCAAGGACGCCTTCGGCGAGCACGGAAAGTATCAGAACATCCTCAAGGAGGTCGATGTGCCCATCCTGTCGCACCATCAGTGCGAGGCCCAGCTGAGGAACACCCGCCTGGGCTACAGCTACAAACTGAATCCCGGATTCGTGTGCGCCGGCGGCGAGGAGGGCAAGGATGCCTGCAAGGGCGATGGCGGCGGTCCTTTGGTCTGCGAGCGCAACGGCGTGTGGAATGTGGTCGGTGTTGTCTCCTGGGGCATTGGCTGCGGCCAGGTGAACGTTCCCGGTGTCTACGTGAAGGTCTCTTCGTACCTGCCCTGGATCCAGCAGATCACCCAGAGCTATCAATGATTAGAGGCTGCTCCCGAGGAGGCTCCATCGTTGACGGCCTACCATGCCACCACCAGCATCGATGCTGCTGAAGACCCCCCTGAAGATGACGCCTCCGATGAGTTTGTTTTTCATTTTTGATCAGCCATCCGTCCATCCGCCCATCAGCCACTTATGCAACACTCTCCCAACCATTGCTACCATCTTTTGTGGCATTCGTCATCGTATTTATTTTGGGACACGGCACTCTCATTTATTACGAGCTCGTTTCTTTTGTTATTTGTTGTACGAGTCTACCATCAACCATCACCATCCACCGGACCCATCTGGTCCGCCTACAGCCTACCTGTAATTGTTGCTATATCGGAGGCACTTCCCTCCTCTTTTGTTGATATTTTATGTACTTTGTATCCCCAAATCGTGGATCGTGGTACATTCGAGTTGCGATTTTGTCTTGTAAAATAGCTGTCGTTTGTAGTGATTAATTTATTTTTATATTTGTAATAAATTAATAATTATGTATTTAAATAAAATAATTTATGAACAAAATAATCATCTCTTGGGAAACTTTAAACATACAGTTGAATGTGATAATACTTCAATGAAGAGCTTTCAGAGGATTTAAGACTGAGATTTTCGATTGAATATTGAATTTAAAATAAAGATTCAGGGGTTCCTATAAATATTTCATACATATATGTACACACATATGTACATATGTATTTAACATCTGTTCGGCGATCGAATGCCCAAGGCCAATGTGATTTCTGTCAGAAATAATTCACAAGCAACAAATCGAATTAAATATTGAATGCAATACGAATTTCGTTAGATAATGAAGCAGTAAATATTTCTTGCAATCTAAAAAGTTTTCAACATTTTAGGGCTACTTATTTCGTCTACCAATTTACTTTGGATCCCTCTCATAATTTTTCCAATTAATTTTCTATATACAAAGTCAATTTAAATTTCCCCAGACTTCCCCATTTTCATAAATAACCAAAATTTCGCCATCTTCCACTTAATCTACATGGTAGTCCCAGACGTAATCCCCCGAAATCGCAGCACAGATGAAAACATAAGGCAGCAGCATGCCCATAGCCCATAAGAGCGACTTTAAGTTCAATTACAGTCCAGTGCAGTCCATAAAATGCAAATTAAATTTAAAGCTTTAAGAAAACAACTTTACACTGTCCGCGCGGCCAGTGCAGTGGGAGAAGCAAGCGTGTCAGCGAACCATTAAAAGACGCCACCGAATCTTGGACCAACAAATGTGGTCGCCGCGCTTCCTCAAAAGGGGGCAGAAGGTGCAATCAGAGAGAGAGATAGAGAGAGTGTGCGTGTGTGTGTATGTGTGGAGCATTCAAATATCCAAAAGTATATACGATCGTTCGCTCATCAGTTAAATTTAAAAACCGCAACCGACTTTCCGCAACTTGAATGTTTCTGCATCGCTGGACCCCAATCGAGTTATAAATGAAAGATTGCCCACTGGGAGGCGGCTCAATGCAGTTCCAGCAGCGTTAGGGAGATGTACGTCAAAGGCTTACGGTTCCAGCTCTGCCAGATGGTGATAGGTAAGCAATGGGGATAGGGAACAGGGAACCCCACGCAGCGGAGCGTCAAGTGGATAACTATTATCCCTCCCTGCAGTGATGCTCTTTGCCGAGGCCTTGGGGCGCCTGCACAAGAGGAATGGCTACCACTATCGACCCCAGCAGCCGCCGCCGTTGCCGCCGCAGCACCATCAGAATGGATACTATGAATCCCTGCACCCGGCAGTGGAGCCTCCAGAGCCAGAGAAGCTCCAGCATAGCAGTCCCAAGAGCTACTACAGCCAGTCGTCAGTGAGCAGCAGCAGCAGCACCGGCAAGGGGAATCACGGCTACAGCATTGGCAGCGGTCTGCGTTCCATTGCCCAGGGATCTGCGGATCAGGCGCACAGCGCCGTGTCCAACCAGCATGCGGCGGCCAAGCAGGCGGCGTACATTGCACAGAACACCCTTGCACAGGCGGCATCCCAGGCATCGGCCACGGCCCAGGCTGCGCTCGCGGGGAAGGAAGTTGTGCTGCAGGAGCTGGAGCAGCAAGCGGCCGAAGCTCAGCGTGCGCTTTCCCGCGAACTGGAGCAGCTGAAGGCGGCCAAGATCTCTACAAGACTGGCCCAGCAGACCGCGCAGGCGGCCCATCATCACATCTCCGTGCTGACGGCGGCCGTAAACAATGCAAAGTCCGTGGCCGAGCAAGCGGAGCAGACCGCCAGCGAGGTGTCCAACCAGCTGGCCTCCCAGTCCACGATGGTGGGCCAGGCCAAGAACCGGCTGGAGCAAGTGGAGGAACAGCTGCAGCAGGCACGCGTCGATTATGCGGCCACCAAAGAGTCGGCCCTCAAAGCAGCCTCTTCGGCGGCTGCAGCTCAGGTGAATGCCTCAAAGGCGGCACAGCATGCAACAATTGGTCTGCACGAGAGCACGAATCAGGTGGAGCACCACCATGAGGGGCATGAGGGGCTCGAGCTTGCAGAGGAATCGTACGATGAGCACATTGACACCAGCGGCGTCGGCCACACGGCGTCAGGGGACGAACACACGCGCAATGTGTACGCCCAGTGAATGTTTCATGTATAATGTAACCCCCTTATTTATCTATTTAATAAAATATTATAGTCAGACTTACGTGGCTGTGAGCTTTGTCTGCTTTTCACGCACATTTTGTTTGAACTATTTGCGCTTAAAAACACTGTTTATCGGTCAAACAGCAACATGTTAAGTTCAAGCACTCTGTTAACTCAACAGCGCAGCTCAGCTGTTTGTGTCCGCGCGTGCCTGTGAATGGCCATATCTTGAAATTTGAAAATTTTCTTTAAAATTAATTAAAAACATTAAAACAATAGCTTAAAATGGCCCAGAAAGTAATCAAATACATTGGCCGCACCACAGACTTTAAGGGCAACACACTGTGGGAGCTGGTGTCCAATCTGCCCAATTGGGGAGTCGGCCGCATGGTCATACGTAACATGTTCCAACGCTACCCGGAGCCGTGCTACATGAGAATACTTCAGGTGCAGGCGGTGGACGATCAGCCGGAACAGATCCGCAAGGTGCGCGTGACCGTGGAAAAGACTTGGCGCGGCGTCACCCAGCCGAAGCCCGTGGAGATCTACAGCACCAGCTACAAGGCCGACTACGAGCTGGTGCCGCTATCGGAGGAGGCCAAGTTCCTCAACAACCAAAAGAAAGTGGCGCCAGTGGTGCTGCCCACAAAGATCGATCTGCCGCCGCTGCTGCGCGAGTACGTGAGGGAGGAGACGGGCGAGGCCAATCCCTTCATGAAAGTCCACTTCAAGAAGACGCCCAACAAGCAGGCACGCCTGGCCCAGGCGGGAGAGGAACCCACCCTGAAAGTTAGCATGGATCTGGGCCAGCCAAAGCCAGTCAGCTCCAAGCTCTACGAAGGCCTGCTGTGAGGTGGAACCCCGGACCGGCTTTGCACTGTTAAAATATTAAATACATTTAATATACATTTTACCTTAAGCACAACGAAGAATTTGTTTACAAATAATCTGTATTTACATGGATTAGACTCTGGAATGGATGGGCTTGGACTTGGAAGTGGACGTGGATCATTTGGAGGCCTCCAGGGCGCGCAGCTTGCGCGTCAGATTGTCCACCTCGATGCCCAGCATGTCGAGGTTCTCCTTGAGCGTTATGTTCTTCAGCAGCGTGTCCTCCAGCACGGTCTGCAGCTTCTTGTTGATCTCCAGCGACAGTTCCAGGGACATGCCCTTGCTCTCGCCACCCTTGGAGCCCCCGTAGATGGCGGCCATGATCCCGTTGCCGTACTTCACGAGCTCGCTCTTGTTCTGGTCGCTCTTCGAGGAGGTGAGAGCGCCCGCCGTCTGATCTCTGAGCATGTAGTGCTGGACGACTTTGGACTTTTTCTGCACCTCAGACACCAGGGCGGCCGTGTGGTTTTCCAGGAACTCGATCCGTTCCGTTTGCCGCGCCGTCGCCTGCTGCAGCCGGAGAATACGTTCGACGAGAACCTTCTTGGACGGCACCGCCTGTAGGTCCACCTGTTGCGTCCCAGGCGTCGGCACTGCTGTCGCACTGCTGGCCACAGTTTCGGACTCTGAGGATTCGCTGGCCCGCCGGCTCCCGCTGTGCACGCTGCCATGGCTGCTGGTGCGGCTGTGGGTGCGCTGTTGCTCGTGCGGATAGCCCCCGTTCAGGGCCTGCTGGCAGTTGCTGCAGTAGCTGATCCCACCCTTGGGCTCGGCAATGCCCTTTTTGTACTTTTGCAGCTCCCTCTGGAGCTCTTTGACGACGGTGGCATGCTTGTGTTGGGTGGCCTCAAAGTCGCCCTGCACATTGTCTAGTTTCTGCTTCGTCAGTTCGTACAGCTTGGTCTTCTCGGAAAGATGTTTGGCCAGCAGCAGCTGCTCCTCATTCTTCTCCGCCGCCTCGGAGTTAAGCTGCTGCTCCAGTTCCCCGTATCTGCAGTCGTAGCCGCGCTTCTCCTGCTGCATCAGCTTGTTCTCCGCCTCGAGACCCTGAGCCTGTCGAAAATAGAAGCATAATTAGTGGATCCTCATTCTCGAAAGGTCTGGGCTGCTTTGGACGCGGACGAGTACAAGGCCTCGATGGCGCAGTTGGCAGCGCGTAAGTCTCATAATCTTAAGGTCGTGAGTTCGAGCCTCACTCGGGGCAGGTACATTTTTTGCACTCAATTTTCTTTTTCTATGTTTTTTTGTCTTACCTTTGATTCCGCTTGACAAATGTCGTTCTGCAGGCACACGATCAGCTCGCTCATCTCCTTGTTGATAGTGAGCAATTCCTGTTTCTTGACTTTCAGCTGCTCTAAATCGGCTTCGTTTTCCTGCGCCTGCAGTTCCAGTTGCTGCACTCTCGCCTGCTGTTCCGATAGCTTTTCTTCGTTGCTATAAAAAGATTCTTGAATCTATTGGAAATACTTCTACAGTCACCTCCTTACATGGTGTTCTGGGTACGCAGCAGTTGTAGTTCTTCGAGTTGTCCCCTTAGCTTGGCCGCATTGAGCAGCTCATCGCTGTAGGCCGCCTCCACTCCATTGTGCTGCTCTCGAACCCGTTTAAACTCCTCCGTAAGTTGAGTATGCTAAAAACAGAAGAGAAAAATAGTTGTACAGAGTTGGATTACATATTTTCTTTACTTTTTACCTCCAAGGCGAGCTCTTGTAGTTGCTGCTGCAGCTCTTTGTTGGCTTCACTTTGTTTTTGCTGCTCTTTGGTGACTTTGTCTAGGGCCTCAGTCTTGCTTGTGATCTCGTGCTTCAAGAGTATTGTATTGGCTTCAAATTCCATCCTAAGCTTCTCTGAAAATGGAATCATCAAACGTTGAAGATTTGCTTCCATTATCATTTAAGATTCAACCAACCATTGGCCTTCTCCTCCAGCTTATTCGGTGCATTTCTTTCCTCCTCCAGCTTGCGCTCAAGTGCCTGCAGTCGGGAAAGGGATTAGGGAATAGAGAAATTCCTGGGGATATCCATACGTACCGCCTTTGCCTCCGTTTCGATGTTCAGCTTGTTCATGTGATACTTGAGCTTGGACTCCAGGTGGCCCATCTCTGTTTTATACTTTTCGCATTCCCGCTGATATTTCCGGACTTCGTTGCACTGAAAAGAAAACAGCAAAGGATCACAGCATAGCCTCCTAATGGCACGAGCAGATCTTTCTACCTTTTCGTCTATGATGTACGTCATTCTGGACTTTTCCTCGTGGATGGCCATGAATCGGGTGGAGACATTCTTCACCTCTTTCTTGGTGTCCGCCAACTGCTTGTCCACCGCCTCCTTCTCCTTTTTGGCATCGATGAGTAGTTTCTCCTTCATGGCAAACTTTATGACTGTGGTCTCCTTCTCCTTGTTGGCCATATCCATTTCCTTGCGAAAGGCCTGCTTCTCCTTGTCCAAGATGGCGTTCTCGCGCTGCAGAAGCGTCATCATGTTGTCCTTCTGTGCATTGGCAGTCCGCAGCTGCTCCATCTGCTGCTCGTAGCTCCGTCGTTGCTCCTCCAACTGGGCCAGACAGTGCACATGGGACAGTATGTCGTTTTGTGGAGACTTTGTGTGATTCTGTTCCTGATCCTGGACTTGCAGGTCCCTGAACCGCATGCTGATCTCCGATGGGGCTTCATCCTGGACAGGCACTTGCTCCAGCACCGCTGCCTTCAAATGCTCAACGAGTTCGGCCTCATTCTTGGCCCCAACTGGTTTATCTGCATCCGCTATCGCCTTTGTTGGCTCTCTCTCAGCAGTCTGCTCTATTTTATTCCATTCCAGATGCTGCTCCACGTCCCCACCTCCACTGTCGTTTCTGTTTTCTCCCTCCGGATGGGTATCTATCTGTCCAGGCTCCTTCGCAGACGCCTTCTCTTCACTCCTTGTCTCAGCCGGCGTGGGGGCCTGCGCTGGTTCCATATTTATTTGTGACTTAAAGGCATTTATTTATTTAATTTAACACAAGTAACAGTGTGACCGCGTATTTGTCGATACAGCCAGACCCCCAGAAATATACTGAAATATACCTTCTCATTCGCAAGAATATACTGCACATTCATTTCCTTCTGTTAATACCAGCTGATCGCTGCAAATTGTTATTTTTCCATTTAATTGTTTTAATTCAACAATGGTTTGCTCACTGGGCATTGAGGGCAGTGCCAATAAAATCGGAGTAGGAATCATTCGCGATGGCGAGGTGCTGGCCAATGTGCGCCGAACCTACATCACGCCGCCAGGAGAAGGTAATGCCTGTTGCTGCTGCTGCCGGCTTTCCGTCTCTCGCTCTTAACCCATTGATATTCTTGCGTACAAAAGGTTTCCTGCCCAATGCGACGGCTAAACATCATCGCGAAGTGATTCTTACGCTGATCCAGGAGAGCCTCAAAGAGGCAAAGATAAAGCCCGCCGATCTGGATGTCATTTGCTACACCAAAGGGCCGGGAATGGCTCCGCCACTGCTGGTGGGGGCCATAGTGGCCCGCACTCTGTCACTGCTGTGGGAGAAGCCACTGCTGGGCGTGAATCACTGCATTGGCCACATCGAGATGGGTCGCCACATCACGGGCGCCCAGAACCCCATCATTCTCTATGTGAGCGGCGGCAACACCCAAGTGATTGCTTATTCCAACAAGAGGTATCGCATTTTTGGTGAGACCATAGACATTGCCGTGGGTAATTGCCTGGACCGCTTTGCGCGCATCCTCAAGCTGCCCAACGACCCCAGTCCGGGCTACAACATCGAGCAGATGGCCAAGGACGGATCTAGCTACATCAAGCTTCCGTATGTGGTCAAGGGCATGGACGTGAGCTTCTCCGGCATTCTGTCGCACATCGAGGAGCTGGCCGATCCCACAAAGAATCCCAACAAACGCAAGAAAACACAGGAGGCAGAGACACCCGCGGCGAAGGCGGCCGATCTTTGCTTCTCGCTGCAGGAGACCATCTTCGCCATGCTGGTTGAGATCACAGAGCGTGCCATGGCGCATTGCGGATCCAATGAGGTGAGCCGTACAGTCGTACAGTTGGAGTCGTGGCACTCATCTTACATGCTCTCTGTAGGTTCTCATTGTGGGCGGCGTGGGCTGCAACGAGCGTCTCCAGAAGATGATGCAGATTATGTGCGAGGAGCGTGGAGGCAAACTCTTTGCCACCGACGAACGCTACTGCATTGACAACGGCCTGATGATTGCCCACGCCGGCGCCGAGATGTTCAAGTCGGGCACCCGAATGCCCTTCGAGGAGTCCTTTGTGACGCAACGTTATCGTACGGACGAGGTGCTGGTTACCTGGCGCGACGACTAGCGGATGATTAGTGATAGTTGTAGTGAGCTTTGCATGTTTATTAAATACTAATTTCGATAGTTTGTATAACATTTATAGTCGTCGTGTGTTGAACTCAGACTGCCTGCTCCTTGCCCGTCCATTGGGGCTTCAATTCCAAGGGGTAGACGCGCTTGCCCTCAATGACATAGACCGCTCCGTTCTTGTCCTTCTCGAGCACACTCAAGATGCAGCGGGCCACGTCGGCGGCGCTCTGCTTGTTGAGCCTGTCGAGGATCCTGTACGTCTCGTCGCTCGTCTCCGGAAAGATGATCTTCTCCGTGAAGTTGGTGAACATATCGGTCATGGTGGCCCCCGGACAGACGGTGACAAACTTGATGCCCGATCGAGCGTTGTACTTGTCGTTCTGGAAAGCACCCATACCCATCAGCACGGCAGGAGGATGGAAATGTATTGGTTTGGGCTTACCGCCAGGCAGCGGGTAAAGTTGATGATGCCCGCCTTGGTGGCGCCGTAGACGGGAATGATGAACATCGGGTCCAGGCCCACCACCGAGCTCATGTTGACAATAATGCCTCCCTTGCCGCCATTGTCCTTGCTCATGTAGGGCAGGGCACTCAGCGTCGAGTTGATGATCCCGCCCAGATTCACGAGGAGAGTGCGCTGGACTTCCTTGTCGTTGAAGATGCCCGCCACGTTCACCACAATGTCGATGCTGCCAAAGGTCTTGGAAATCTCCTCGTAGGTGGCCTCCACGCCCTTCTTGTTCGCCACATCCATTTTGACGATCATCACGCTCTGCGTGGGATGGGCGGCCCTCAGCTTGACAAACTCCTCCAGATTGTCCTGTATGTCCATGATGGCCACCTTCTGGGGGGAATGCATACGTTAAGCAGTGACTGCCACAGACCCCGTATCTCTACTACACACCCCTGCACCAGCCGCCAGGAGCTGCTTGGACACCTGGAGTCCAATGCCGCCGGCTCCGCCAGTCACTACCGCGTTCTTGCCACGAAAAGACATCCTGTTATGCTTGGTAATCCTCTGATGATGCTGCTGCTGCTACTGCTGATGCACTGCTGCCTTGGAGGCAATCGGTTGGCGCTTTTATAGCCCTTCGCCGTGGGTGCTGATATGTGATACATCTTGAAATGACTTTGGCCCGTTGCAATCAATAGCCGCCACTGGTTCTCCACTGGCTCTGGGTTAGCATTATGCAAACCCAGACAGATCGGCAGATATATACGTACACACGTACACGTATCGATTTCGCCCACCATCTGGCCAGAGAGTCGCTCTAGCGTTCAGTCCGCTTCACACTGATTTGCCTCCGTTGTGTCAGCTTTGCATCCATCAATGATAAATCACTGATCTCTTAATTGCAATCGGAATAAGAACACTCTCATATAGAGCAAGATAGTTACGATCCATCAAAGCCATGGGTCTTCTTTTTACCGATTAAACAAACCATTATGGGGGCTACAATTACAATTACAGGGTATAAATTCTGAATTCTGAATTAATTCTCTTTTCCTTATGGTAATTTTATTTGTATTTATTCAAGCAAAAATCTTATGAAAAACCAGAACACATTCGTATATCCACTCCAACTCCAATATGTCATATGCATACGTATGTGTGTATGTCTGTATGTGTCTTTGGTATATCTTCTTTATATGATTATACAATTTCTCTCATCTCACAAAGTTTCATATTAAAAATGTTCGGCTTATATCTTAGGACTAGAAATATGAAATATGATATATATGGATCTGTGGGTCTGTGGATCTTCGGATCTCTAAGTTATAAATGTAATTCGGTTTTCGGTTGGACATTCAACTCTTTTTGAACTGTTTGTGGGCCGCTTTTAGAGGGTAGGATTACGTATCGAAGGAGAATAACTCAACGGAAATGATAATCAAAAAACTCAAAAAGAAATGTTGAAAATTATTCAGTTTATTTTTTAAGCACTTAAATTATCACAACTTATATTATATACAAAAAGGTAAACGATAAATAATTGCAGCTACCATTAGACATTAGAAATTAGAAATTTAGGGATAAATTAGAGACAGACACGAAGAAAGGGATCAAGGGATGGGATGGACTGCCGATGACCCTTTAGTGGGCTCCATCGTAAGTGTCCTTGGCCTGATACCCGCTGACATACCCAGAACCATCGACCACATTGCGTCTGCCGGCAATGCCCTTGCCCTTGCCTGTGGCATCGAAGCGCTCCTTGTGGGAGCCCGTATACTTGCTGGTGTCCGTCAGCCGGTCCACAGCAGCCGCAGCCTTTCCAGCCTACACCGAATAGAGGATTATGAGAATCGCATGGCTCTGGCAGGAAGGAAAGTATTTATAACTTACGGAAACTTGGGCCACACCCGGAGCCCCACAGCCGGCCAACTTCTGCTTGATCTCCGCCAGCTCCACCTTGCGCGTCTTGGCCAGATCGTCGAGGAATTTGTTGTAGTCCGTCAGAGAGATCTTCAGGGCCTTGAACTTCTTGAAGTGGATGCCCGTGTCGGTGGTGGTGATCTTCTTGTCGATCACCTTCGCCTGCTTCATCCACTTGTCGCTCTGCGAGAGCGTGATCAGCTTGCCATCGGATTTGGTGTCCCCGAACTTGGAGAAGGCCTTGAACTGATCCGATAGGCTCACTTTGGGCGCCGCCACCGCCGCCACCGCCGCCTCCTCCTCCAGTGCCAGTTGGGCCAGCTCCGCCACAGGGGCCTCGGAAGCGGGCGCAGGCGAGGGACTGCTACCATTTGCTGCTGCTGCGTGAGACATGCTGGCTCTATGGGGAAAGTGGGAGATTGTTTAATGCTTAATATATGAGGATTATTTCTATTTTTGCATTCTGTCAACACGCAACGGAAAACGGCACCTTCTACTACGCAGTGCCTGCCTCACCTGTGGGCCACAACACTGACCAACATTGCGGCGGGTCGAGGAGTTCTGGGGTTCTGTTACCCTACGTTTTCTCTATCTACTGTATCCATCCGCTTGATTTCCACACAGAGCTTATCTGCCTTTCGATTATTTGTATTCCCAGCACACAGATAAAGCCAAAAGCTTTTTCTCAGCTGTTCTCCCGAGAGAACCTTAACTGAAACCAGCAACGGAAGAGACCCGAACCCCCCATAAATGACGTCATCTAAATATTTGTATTGCTTGGCTGCTAATTATCGTCTCCATACGAAACACAAATAACGATCACAAACAGCCCCCAGGGTATCGGCAGGGGGTCACAGCATACGGGCACAGCTAGCGGTAGCTTGAAGAAACAGCCAAAATCCATTATGATCACAAGAGACTGGTTTTCAAGCTTGAAGGTTCACTGCGATCTAATGGGAATATGTTTTTGGGTATTGGCTTTCAAATTAAGACTCTCTAGGATCCAAAGATCAGACAGAACCCCTGCCCCTGGCAGAACCCCTGCCCGTGGATCACTTAATACGAGTATGTTAACCATCCCACTGCAAATCGCGTAAATCTCATTGATAATTTAGTTTTAAAATTGCTTGTAGCATAAATTTTCGTCATGTCTACAGGCGGCTACCCAACACGAATCGATATGGGAGGGAGTCTGTGCGGAGGGCACCGAATCCTCCCATAAACAGTAAATAAAACGTGAGCATTTATTGGCTGGGCCATTAATTACGCGCCACTTAAAGAGAGGCCCCAGGAGATCTGGGAGCTGTTTGGTTAACCATTTAAGGCAGCGATAAGATGCAGCATCAACCCAAAACTGGTCTTCTCCTTCTCCTTTTATTTTGTACTCGGGTGAGATATGATTGCATGGCTTGTGCCTGGCCTAGCCTGGCCTGGAAAGATGTTAACCAAAAGGAGCAACAGGACTCTGAAGGTCAGGGCTGAGCACTGCCACTGGCACTGGCAAGCAGCCCACTGGCCCGACTTGACCTTGGATTCGGGGCGACCTTGATGTGCAGTCCGTCGAGCATGTCAAATGCTATCTGGGTGGAGACCCCGCCCCAAGCCAAATAATGAGCTCTCTCGCAAGTGAAAACCTAATCGACTCTGCGAGTACGGGTACTATGCTTATGTCATCGCCTCATTACGCCGCTCGTTTCATGTGTCGATTGCGTTTACTCTGGGATTGGGATCAGCCTCTAATGGGGGGGGCTCTGCTGGGGGTGGGGCTGCGAGTATATACATATATTTCCATTTAATCCACTATTCAATCGCGATGGTCAATTGAGAGCATTGCATGCATCGTAATTCCCTCATTAATTATCTGCGGTAGGCCTGAAGCGCGGCGTGTCATTGAACTTGAACTCCGCTGGAGCTGTGGGAGCTCTGGAGCCGAAACAAATTACCAAACACATCCCCAGAGGTAGCGAGAGAAGACCAATGGAACCCTTTACTGCGCCCTTCCTTGTAATTGGAAGCCATAAATACCGAGAAACAAGAAAAGTTGACAAACTGCAGCACAGAAAAAAGCTGCGAATATGCATGGAGAGAGGGGTTTAAGTTTTGAGGCAACTGAAAGCAAAACGAAGTGTGAATGCTCTTGGAGAGCAGTAACCACAGACAGATCTGCAAGAAACAATCAATAATTATCCCATGGAGCACCTACTTCTATGCTCAGGTGTCGCCTTGAAGTACTTATTGAGCTTTGGGTAAATTCCATTTGCCATGCCAAGAAAAAGCCAATTGACTTCAGAGTAAATTTAATTAAAGAATCAAATAATAATAAAGAGGCTGTGCTCAAAGTCATCTGTACCCCTCATAGAACATCACCGCGGGCAGCTCTGCAATGGTGGAGTGTGGAAGGGGTCTAAATCAAAAATAATCCCTTCTGACTGCCAGACCATAAATAATTTGTTTCTTTTTTTTCTCTCTCTAGTTTTCCATTCTCAGTCCCATTCCCTGTGAATATTTCTGATCTGACGAACAAGTTTCCGACTGGAATAGGGTGAGGAGGCGGGTAGGGGGGGGCATTGCCAATTCGTTTCCAACATTTTAATTAGTTTTAAACCAACCAAAATGGCAAAAGTTAATTGGGAATATATTCATAGGTAAATGGATGATGGGTTAGATTGGCTTCCGGGGTAGGGAATTCGGAGGCAGAAACCCACCTCAAGTGCTCCCCCGAGACGGATGGCAAAGCCACAAATATTAGAGGCAAAATTTAGGTCATCTTGTTGTGGGCTCGTATATTTATATTTATAGCTGGAGGGAACTTTATGAAATGCTGCACCACATACATACAAACATATGTACATATCGTTTTGTTTGGCCCTCTGTAATATTAGCGCCTCGAACTGAATGCATATATTAAAATCATTTTTTTTTTTTGGGGTGCTGGGCCCCTCCCCGCACAAACAGGAAACGAAGGGGCATGCTGATAAACACGCAACGCAATAGAGAAATCATTGAGTTAGAAGGGGGACTGGGACTCGGACTGGGGCTTATGCTTTGGTCTCTGGTCTCTGGTTAGCCATACATCACCACTTGCCCAGATGACATCACTTGGTGATGTGAGGAGCGCGCAAGCGCAGGGCGGAGGATGGGGGGATGACATACGCATACATACCGAAGGATAAGAGTACGCGAACGGGGCAACGATGCCACAGAACAATGGCAATGGGAATGGGAATCCAGGAAATCGGAACTAAAACGGGGGCAGCAGGAGCCACAAAACCCATTTAGGTTACAGCAAGTGGGTCACAGAGTGCTCTTGAAATCCTGCACAGCCTCCCCGCCCGCACAAGCAGATAAACAATCCAAAAAGGGACACTGAGTAAAACCCTCTTTCCCCCTGGCGGTTTTTCACACTTTTCCTACTTACATTTGAATTCAAATAAATTTAGCGAAAATGTCCGTATAATCTGCCAAAAATCTTGGTATTCCTTGGATGTTTTTCGAGCTACTTCTGGGAGGGCGCGCGCGAATGCTGTCGATGTCGAGACTCAACTGTTTGGACAAATGCGCAGCGCCAGAGCAAAGCAAAGCCCATTCGGCGTATGAGTGATATTTGGACTGAAGAGAGCTTTGAGTTGAGTGGAAAAGTAAATGCCTAACGATGAGCACATCCTCCAAACAACATTAGCAAACTATCAACCACACAGCAGAGAACGATCGAACGCCAGAAAGTAAAGACGGAGAGCCGAAGAGAAAGAGATTAGATAGATTAGATAGATCTCCCACCAAATATTTTTGGTATATTTACTTATACCCAGCGATGACTTCATTTCACGAAATTTAAACACAAAAACTAACAGCAAAAGACAGCCACACGACAAAGCCCATTTATCACAAACAAAAAAAAACAAAAAAGCGAAGCAAACCCATGGCAAAAAGGTGACGTCTTATCAATACCAACAAGTTTCGCTCGGACTCGGACTCGCAATCGGACTCGGACTCGGAATTTTGTTTGTTTTGAGTGTAAATTATGGGAGGAGGGAAAAAAAGAGCTTAAAGCTCGCCTGGGAAACGTTAGCTGGTGGGGGCTTGGGGGCTATGCTGGAGGCCGATTTTTATGTGTCTGCCACAACACAAAGGGCGCAGCGGAATACGATGCGTGAAATTACTGACAACAGAAAACACGCACAACAAGTGAGAGACAAGCGACAAGCGACCAGAGAGAGTGGGGGAATGGGGGGAGCAGTAGAAGCAGAAGCAGTACGAATGGAAGTTAGTGGGTGTGTTTAGGAGGTGGTCTAACTAGTGAGCTCATGGCAATGTTTAGCTATGCAAATGACTTGCTGTGTGACCTGCCACTGCCACTGCGACTGCCTCAAGTGATTAAGAGTTCTTTGAACTTGGACAAGTGTGGGTGCCAGGTGGAGTAAAAGCAGAAGAATGCCAGGAGAAAGTAAAAAGTGACTCGGAAATCATAAGGAAATTGCCTTAGCACACAATAAAATCAGAGACCAAAGCAAAACCCTAAATAGCATAGGGGAAAAAAAAACAAAAAACTTTGACAATGATTTATGGCTAGTGTCTGTCAGAATTATTTGGTTTGTTTCGTGGATGAAGTCATGAGCTGAAAGCAAAACAAAGTCAAGGAACGAAAGACCAGCAATGAGGTGCGAAGTTTTAGATACCCTGGGCAGAGCGATAGTCCAGAGTACGCCCCTCTAGGGGCATCAAAAGAGCCAAAACAAAGGCTAATAAATACTGACACAATGCTCGCCAGCTGGTCCTATCTTTAGTGCAACTCTAATCAGCCCAAGGAGAGAGAGCGGGAGACCCAAGACTCTGAAAATGGTTCACAAATCACACAGCAGCTACAGCTGCATTTCCATTCGCAGAGCAGAGCAGATAAACCAGATCAAAAGACCAGGCCACATCGGTGTCCAGAACTAACAAGATCATTAAGCTCTCTGTCTTTGCTTTGATTGAAAATGAGTGCCAATACACGGGGCAGGGCCGGGGCAGGGGCTAACATTAAAATGCACTTATCAGGCAGCAGTCAAGGCCAATCCTCCGCCTCCTAATCAGGCACAAGGAGGAGCCCCTGCGCATGTCCCTGCCTCGGCCTGCAGCGGCTAAAAATAAACCCAAACCCCCAACTCAAAGCAGAGCAGAGCAGATACAGCTACAGATACACGAGATACAACACGACGACTCCAGCAGAGTCCAGCAGAGTGCACACGTTGCAGCGTTGGGGCCAAATGTGGCCCTTGGCCTTCACTCACCTTGAGATGCCGTTGGGTGCCTGCCGCCGTCTGCAGTCCGCAGTCCGCAGTCGTTGCCGTTACCGTCCATAATGTGCGAGTGCGAGTACATGCAACAGCTAAAAAAGGAGAAAATGCCACAATGGGGCAAGGCGGCAGGCAGCAGCAGCAGCAACAGCAACAACAACTGCATATCAATTACTTGCGGGGATCGAATGGGCTGGAGATGGGGTTGGGTTTGGGGTTGGGGCTGCAGTCTTTGGCCTTGATGAGCGGCAAGTCAAGGCTCTGGAATAACAGCAGCAGCAGCAGCATGTGCCACAGATGCAGATGGGGCTCCACAGATATCCACTCCACAATTAAACCAAATGGACATAACGCCTGGAGAGTCACAGGAATGGGGCTGGCAGAGGGGGATATCTGCAGCCGTTGTCCGTTAACGACACAAGTGGACAAGACAGGCCGCGATCGCCTCGCCTCGCCTCGCCTCGTTTGCTTTCATTTGCCAGGCCATTCAATCGGACAGCAAAGGCAGGGGAAGGAGGAGGAGGAGGCAGCCATCCAGAACCCAAACCAGAACTAGAACCTGCTGTCTCGAGCTGTATAAAAGGACCCCGGGAGCAGGCCAGAAGCAGCAGAACTCACAGAGTTGCAGCACCAAAAGGAGCACAGAAGAGCATTGAGACCATGAAGTATCCACTCCTCTTGTTGGGATTCCTGGGCGTGGCCCATGGCCTGGCCCTGTACGCGGCCTCCTATCCGTTCGTCTACTCCGCCGGCGGATCGGCTGTGTTCACGCCCACGCAGCAGCAGTACATCTCGCAGGACGCACTTGGCCAGTACTCCTATGGCTACGCAGAGCCGCACTCATCCAAGCAGGAGACCCGCACCCTGGACGGCACCACGCGGGGCACCTACAGCTACCGCGATGCGGCAGGCAAACTCCAGACCGTCGACTACTTGGCCGATGCGCAGGGCTTCCATGTGGCGGCCACCAATCTGCCCAAGGCTGTCATTCCCCGGGAGCTGGTGAGCGGCAGGAGTGCCGCCTCCCATGGTGTAGTGCATCCCGTGGCTGCCCATCATCATCCCGTGGAGCACCATGGCGGACACATCGTGGAGCATCCCTCATCCCCGGTGGGCAGTGGCCATTCTGGCCACGTTGAGCATCATCCAGTTGACATCTCTGGCCGGAGTGCTGTGCATGGCGTGGCTGGCGCCCATCCCGAAGCTGTTCACCATCCCGAAGAGCAGCATCCCGTCGAGCATCATGCCGTGGTGCATCCATCTGGTCATGTGGTGGAGCATCCCTCTGTGGCTGGCACTGGCAGAGGTGCTGTGCATCCCGAGGGCCACGAGCTCCCGCAACCCGTTGGCGACATCCCCGAACATCTGAAGCACCTCCACGACGAGAAGGTACACATCGCAGTGCCAGCAGTGCCGGTGCCAGTGGCAGTGGCCCGCAGCCACCATGTGGTGGTCCCTGCCGCCGTTTACGGCTACACTCGGCCCCACTATTACTCCTCCGGTTTCTACTACTGAGTGGCAGTACACAGTGAGGCATTCCGTGCCTCGTTCCTCGATTTCCAAATTCAAATAAACTCAAAATAAAGTCAATCATTTCTGAATCTATTTTGGGGTTTTGCTCCCGGACACGGGTCCTACCTCAACCATCGCATTCCTCCGCTTGCACGCTTGCACGCTGCCTCATAAATGCAATGTGAATTTTGATTTCAATTAATTTTAATAGCAGCATAAACCACATCGGAAACCACAGCCCGAAAACATGACCGAAACTGGTCACAGCCCTGCCCTAACCCGGTTCCTTGACCCCTCTTCCTCGTCAGAGACCCAGACCCAGTCCCAGACCCCGACCTCAGTCTCTCTCTCTCTCTCTCTCGCGGACAAAACAGGCCTGATTAAGTTCTTTGGTTTGTGGCAGGCAGCAAGCAGCATTGCGGAACGTTGTACAGTTGTTCATGTGCCTGTCCATGTGCCTGTCCCTGTCGCTGATGTTGCCTCTGTGGCCAGGGGACAGATGAAAACAAATTGCGGCTTTTGTGCTCAAATTTATGCTGAACTTGTTGAAATCGAAATCGACAAAATATTTATGTACAAACAGAGAGTCCACCACGTCCAAGAGGAAGCCACAGTCCCCATTCCCACTTCCCATTTTCATTGCAGAGGAACAGCAAAAGGAAGAGGAAGAGGAAGGAAGGAACAATAATCCCAGAGACAGAGGCAGAGGCAGATGCAGTGGCTATGGCTATGGCAGTGGCTCTGCCTGTGGCTGGGCCTGTGGCTGGGGGAATATGAAAGTAAACCAGGAACCAGACGACCTTCCTGAGAACGCACGAATTTTCGGCTGTCGGAGAGACCTCCTGAGAGCGCGTATAAAAAGCAGAATCCCCAAACGAACGCAGCACAGAGTTCTCTAGAGCGAGTACTAGTCCACGACACTAGCAGCGCCAAAAGCCCCAAAAGACCAATCCACGAAGCCCGCAAAAAGCAGAAAGCAGAAAGCAAAATGCATTCCCTCAATCTCCTTTGCCTGATGATCAGCGCCTGCCTGGTGCGTGGATCCCCATCCCCTCTGCTGGAATACGGAGCACCGCCGGCGGGCGACAGCGTGTCACAGTACCACACGCAGGACGAGCACGGCCAGTACGCCTATGGGTATATGGCGCCGCTGTACTCCAAGCACGAGACACGCACTGTGGACGGCGTCATCCGGGGCACCTTCTCCTACGTGGATGCCAGAGGCGAGACCCAGACCGTGGACTATGTGGCGGACACGGAGGGTTTCCGCGTCAGCTCCAGCTCCAGCCTCAGCCAGCAGCAGGCCAACGAGGAGACGCCCGAGGTGGCGGCCCTGAGGGCCCAGCATCTGGCTGCGCATGCGCAGGCCAAGCTGCGGCTGGCGGGGGATTCATCTGCCGCCTCCGTGGAGCTGCCACAGCCCGTGCAGGATACACCCGAGGTGGCTGCCGCCAAGGTGGCGTTCTTCAAGCGCTTCGAGGCCGAGAAGCTGCGCAATCAACTGCTCAGCGAGAAGCAGATCCATCGAGTGCAAGTCGCATCGATCCCCGTCAGATCCCAGCCGCTGTACGTCTATCAGCCACTCACTGGCTATGTCTACAATTACCACAAGTCGCAGGGTCAGACGCAGACCCCCTCGCGGGACTACCTGCCAGTGCGCGTCTGATCTTTGATCTGGATGAGATCTTCTGTTAATTGTTGAGCAATAAATGATGCAAACTTGGAAATTGCAAATGAAAACGCACTCGGATTCGGCACAGTGGTGCTCTGTCTTGCATTTATTCGTAGGAGCCAGCAGCTCATCCTTGATCATTGATCATTCAGCCTGCCATCAGTTCCGTTTGCTCACCAGCAAACTGCGACTGAGGGCCACGGGACGCAGGGTTCGAAGCTCCGTGGGCGTGGTCACGCTGTACTTGGCGCTGGGCGAGAGGAGGGTGTAGTAGGCGCCCACCGGCACCCGGAGATCGCCGCCGTTCAAGCGCTCCTGGGGATCGCCCAGCTTCAGGTAGCTACTGGAGGTGAGATCACCCAGGGAGTAGATCGTGCGCAGGCGGGCCTGATCCCCTCGATCAGTCTCTCGATCGCCCCCCTGCCTTTGATCCTCTTCTGCTGGCCGCTGTTCGTCCTGTCGCTTGTCCTGATTCTCCTGCCGTTGCTCCTGCCTTTGGAGCTGTTCTTCCTGCTCCTCGTTGATCTTCGGCAGATTGTTGGATCGCTGCCGATCCGCCAGCATGGCCGTCAGCTGTGCCCTCACCCGCTCCAGAATGTCGGCATCCTCATTGCTGAGGCTCCGCTCCTCGGCTTCATTTGCCAATGAAGCCCTGGTCCTGCTGTCCTGCTGCCTCCTCTCGGACTCCTCGCGCAGACTGGCCGCCAAAGCCTCCTCTCGCGCCTCCCGCAACGCATTCAGATGGGCGGAACGCGCCTGCTGCACCTCCACCGTGTCGGCGACGGGCAGGGGCGGTTTTCCCTCATCCACCGGGGCCTGTGGCAGGTTGCTGCCCTCCGCCCTGAAGCCCTGGCCACGACTGGCCTCGTAGCGGACCGTCTGGAGCTTGCCATCGGCGTCCAAATAGGAGTAGAAGCCCCTGGAGGAGCCATCGCGGGAGGAGTACTCTGCCCGGGCGGCCGTGTCGTCGCTGTAGCCGTACGAGTAGAAGGCGCGTGCCGTGTCCTGCTGCTGGTAGCGGCGCTGTTGGCTGTTGGCCCTGGGCTCCGTTCTGGTCTGATCATCTTCGGACCGGAGACGGGCAACGTTGGCCGCCGATGCGAGGGCCAGCAGGGCCACAATTGTTGTCCAAATGAAGTAGTGCATCCTCTGAATCTCAATCTTTGGAAGTGTGCGCTTGAACTGATGCCGCTGTAGGCGCTCCGATGTGTTTTTATACCACCTGTGGGTGGTAACCCGAGAGGCGCCTCCCCCCCCGTCTGTAGTCTGCACAATGACCTCGAAATCTGCAAACCGATCCGATACGATTGTCAATAGGTGCTGGCATCGCTACCGCTACCGCACGGATGTTGTAAGAGTGAACTTAATATTGAGATCGCTGGCAGTCGGATATCTGTAGCTGTAGCTGCAGCTCCATCTGTATGTGTGGCTGTGGGTTGCGCAATGAGTCTCCATAAGTCTCCATGCGTACGGATATGGTAGCCGCAACCTGATTGCAGCGGAACACGGCATAAGGGAAGTCTCTTGTGCAAGCAGTTGCTTCATTTCAGTTCCGAAAATATCTCCTAAGACACACATCTACCAATGATAGTTCTGAAAGATCATTGAACCCTTCCTGGGGGACTCTTCAGCTGAGAAAACTTTTCATTTCTCTTGAAGTTCTCCGCCTTGCACTCCCACTATCAGTGGGGCTCTCTCCATTTCGGGCATCTCTTTTGGCATTTAATTGAATTAAATTCCAGTCGGAAATTGCGCTCTCGAGAGCAAAAGTGATATGGCAAAAGCTTTGCCAGAGTGCCAGAGTGCCAGTGCCAGTGACTGTGTGTTGTTAGCACTTCTGATTATCAGTAGTACAACGTTCGTTGTGGAACGCAGTTCACCCAATCCACTAGACCATTAGAGAATCAGACAGAGCGACAGCGACATGGATTTGGCTGGCAAGAATGTGGTTTACCTTGGAGGATTCGGCGGCATAGGCCAGAAGTGTGTGCAAGAGCTGCTCCGGCGGCAGCTAAAGGTGGGTCTTGTGGGTCTTGTGGGTCTGTGCCAACGGTTGATGGCCCAGTTAATGGAATGGCATCCCCACCTTTCAGGCACTGGCTGTCTTCGACTTGACAGCGAATGCTGAGGCGTTGGCCGAGTGGCGAGCAGGCAGTCTGGGAACGGAGATCTTCTACCAGAAGGTGGACATCACCAGGAAAGAGGACATCGAGGCGGCCTACAAGGCGACCGCTGAGCGCCTGGGACACTTTGATGTGGTTGTCAATGGCTGTGGACTGATGAACGATCGCCTGGTGGAGCTCACCATTCAGATAAACTTGGTAAGGCATCCATCCGCATGTATTCTCTGGGATTAACTCCCCTTTGATTCGCCCATTTAGCTGGGTGTCATCCAGAGCACTTTGACAGCCCTGGAGTACATGGACAAGTCAAAGGGTGGCAGGGGTGGACTCATAGTGAACATTTCCTCGGTGGCAGGCCTGCAGCCCACGGCTCTGATGGCCATCTATTCGGCGGCCAAGACCGGCATTACATCCTTCACTCGCTCCATGGCCGTGAGTCCACTTTGGAGTTTATTCTGCTTTCTGTACGAATGACCGACTCGTTGCTACCGCAGAATCCCATCTACTATGCCCACTCGGGCGTGAGCTTTGTGACCATCTGTCCGGGATTCACTGACACTCCCCTGCTGGAGGACATCTCCAGCAAGACGACATTCACTTACCACACACCCATGCTGGACATGTTCAACAGGGTGAGGCGCCAGAAGCCCGAGGATTGTGCCAGGAATCTCGTACAGGCCATGGAGCAGGCCAAGAATGGGGCAGTTCTCATGCTGGAGCTGGGCGAGACCCAGGAGCTTCAAATACCCGACTTGTGGAAGCCCCAGCTCGAGTAAAAAGCAGTTCCATAATCTTATCTACTAATTATATTCCAGTGTGTACCCAAATAAACTCATACAATATTCTCGTTGCAACTTAATCTCCCGCTCTATCCCATAGAAACCACAGAAACCACAGGAACACACCATCAGCAGAAGATATCATTTGCTGCAGTTGGTAGATAACGTAGATAGGTAAGGTAGTAGATGTCGATTAAGTTTCATTTATTTAAATTTCTCGCAGACATACACAAAATTGAGATTAATTTTTGTTCACATCTAAACACTTTTACATGGGGAATTTCGAAGGGAAATTAATATTCGGCGCATCGAAGAACATACATTACTGACCAAAAAACTAGAAATGTTCGGAGCTCCGAAGCATGACATGCCCTGGCACAGGACTAGAAGCTGCAGATCAGAGATTCAGAGACTAGAGATTGCTGCATCTCAAAGAAATGAGGGAAGGAGGTAACCACAAAAGTTTATTCCTTCTGCGAATGCTGCCTGCAGCAATAGGAGATGGCCTGCAATCTAAAAGAGTTAAGATTTATTTCCACTGGACGGACACGCGGACGCTTGAGGTATTCTAAGTAGGTTTAAGTTCTCGCATTCTTTGCCAGGGCATCAAAAACCACACATAGACTATATGGACTCTAGGTATTTGGTATTTGGTATGATCGGTATATGAAGGATCATCGCTTGGGCTGGGAGTATGTGAAGCAACGTTTCTCTCCTCTCCTGCTCCTGCTCCTGCTCCGCCTGCAGAATGCATGTAAAATACAATCTGCTTTGCTTATCGTAGTCTCGTATCTTAATGTTTGCTTGGTTGGTTGATTGGTTGCTTGTGTGTGTGTTAGTGAGTGTTGCTTGCATTTAGATACATTATTATACATACATACATATATAGTAGTTTTTGTTTTTGGTTTTTGGTTTTTTTTAGCACTAATATACTCGTAAAGACATTTGTTCGTTCCCATTGAACTGGGAATAGTTTCGCATGTTAACTGTAGATTTCACATCATCACAATTCAAGGATCTTCAACTTATAAATTACATCAAAGACATTACAACAATACATTATATATTTCATCATTATGCAGATCATAGCTATCGGTGAATCAAGTTCAAACATTAATTATGGGGCGGTATTACCTAAGAGAGTTCTTCTGCATTGAGCTACGCACATTCATATATGTTATATGCTATATGTTATATGCTATATGTTATATGCTATACGGTATATATGGTGGGGGGATTTACATGGTACATCTATGAGATCTTTGGAGATTGCTGTCTTGATTAAAATTAATAGATTGTATTTGTATTGTCCTCGCCATGACGCATTTGATGCGCTGGAAGAGAGTGCGGATTATCTATGGATTATCTAATATATTTAAATGGTTCTATAAGCGATCGATCTCCTGGCAGGCTGTAATAGACTGTTGGCTCTCCATGAACTACTGCAAATTTGTATTTGTTTTGTTTTGTTTTGTTTTTTTTTTATCTATGAGACATGAGACATGCAAAATTCATCATCTGGAAACATCACTAACCCTAGATTGAGGAACAGAAGCGCCTATTAAATATATGTATATTGTATTGTATTTGTATCTTATAGCGAGCATACTATATAAATTGGATTGTCCATAACTAGTTAGTTTTGTTCAGTTAACTTTATGTAGGTTGTAGTACTAATCTACTAATCAGTTGCCTATCTGGTGGTTTGCTTTATTTAAATATTGCTGGTGGATTATTCTGCTAGGTTTATCGGTTGCTTGCTTGCTTGCTTCGCTTTTGATATGTTTCGCACATTATCTTCCATACTTCCATTGTTCATCAGAAAAAACAAAACCGACAATAATCTGTGTAAAATAAAACAATAACTTAGGCAAAAGTAAAAGTTTTGTGAAAATTTATTGGTAATTAAAATAAATAAATCTTTTTTTAGGCTTTTTGTGTGTGTGTGTGTGTGTGTGTGGTGTCGCTTTGATTAACAGAACTCGAAATTTGCTTACGATAGAAACATTGAGTGATAATACCAAAAATACATTTAATTAACATATTTATAATAAATATATATAGTACATTTGTGTGTGTGTGTGTGTGTATAGAAAATATTGATTTTATTTTTTTGGGGGGTAGGTAGAATTGGATATTGTAGAGGTGAGAATGGTGGATGGACTTGTTGTAAATCATAAAGTTACACAACTCAACTCAACAATTACGTCTATGAATATGAACCGAACCCATTGGGTTTAAGCTAAAAAAAAAAAAAACAAAAAACAAGAGACTTGACCACAGCCAAAGGCCGGACGGACGCCCAGCGACTCGCTCCGGGAATGGAGAGACTTAAGTACACAGTGGCGGATCATCGATCGTCGTCGCTCTGGGGACAGTCGCCCATCCGGCCTTCTTCTTCTTCTACATTCTGACACATTTCACAAGAGACAAATACATTTTAAAACAAATCTCTTCTGTTACTGAGTTTCTGAATAATAGTAGTTACGTTTCGGATTTCATTTAAACATTTATGTAGATATATTTTAAAACTGCTTCGATCTGTTTCAATTTCAACTAGTTTTCACATGAATATTCCTACTACACACACGGCATCGCATCGAAACTCATTAACAATAAATATATATATATATATAATTGTGTGTATAGATACATATATGTTATATTCATCTAGGATCAAGCGCAGTTTATATAGTATATACATATATATACTTAGGTATATATATGTGTTCCTGATTTCATCGCTTAACATATACAAATTACAAAATCTCTACTCTTTCTTTCGCTTTGTTTCGCGCACAAAATCAAAAGTCACGAAAGCAAAAGACTCGGGCTCAACGGACATTAATATATAATATTAATAATAAGAGCGCGCAAATTGGTTAGTTTTCTATATAGTATACGTACATACATATACATATATATATAGTAAATATATATATATATATCTTTACATATCTGTGTATGCTGTATTCTGTTTCGCAGTATTTATAGTATAGTGGGAGTGGTGGTGTGTGTTGTGTTTGTAAAATGTTCTCACAAATGTTAGCCCTGACCTGACTCGACTCGACTCTACATTTACTTTAGTTCTCTCTCGCTTTTACGCGCACTTTACATACAAAGTGTGGGTGAAAGGTGAAAGAGGGGGCTGTGGGCTGGGGGTTGGGGGGACAGGACACGGTTTTAATTTATTTTCAATAAATTTAATAATATATATAGTACAATAGTTAACAACATCGCACAATAGCGTTATTAAAATTTCTTTAAGAAATATAAACATTCATTCCACACATACACATAATTATGATCGATCATCTCCATATGTGTGTGTGTTCTCTCTCTGCGTGTGTGTGTGTGTGTATTTATGTGTGTGTGTGTGTGATAGCGAAAGGATCTCTATCTCTCTCTACATTCGATCCTTTGCTCCGATTTGTTTTGTTGTATATAAAAATAGCATTTGAAATAGTTAATAATTAATAAAAATATATAGTATTTATGTAGTATGATGTATGTATGTATATATCTATGTATATAGCATTAAAATCAATCAAAATCTGATCACAAATAATTGTGGGATGGGACTTATGGATTTCGGATATAAAATTCAGTTGTACTTAGATCTGAAAATCAATTAGTTATTAATGTACAGATTGCTATTGATGGTTGTAAAAATTGTTGTAAAATCTGGCTATATTGTACATCTGCTCCTTTTTTTTTGGGGGAGGAGAGACGAGGCGAGGCGAGGCTCTTCCTCTGGGATCTCTATGGGATTTGGGTTATGTTATTAGAGCTAGATGCTAGGTTAGACATCGAAATTGAATATTCTAGATTGAGTTGCTTTTCCATTTCCCTTATTTCCCTTTCCCTATCCATTTGCTAGTCCCCACGATTAATTTGAAAACGTAACACGTAAGACGAGAACATCTGGATAAAAACACATTTAGTTCGGCTGGCCGAAGACGATTCACAATTTGAACAATGAACTAATAGACAATTACATAATTATACAATAGTTTTCTAATAGAGGATACCCAACCCGATTTTCTGTTTTTATCTTTTTGTCTGTTTTGTTTTGTTTTGTTTCATTTTGTTGCTACGGTTTTCTTTTCTTTTGTTTGGCTCCGCCCCGATCCAATAACGGATCGGAGCGCGGAGGGCTGGCTGGCTGTTTTACAACTACAGAGAATTCTACCAGAGTTTGAACTGTGCGGTACAAACCTCTAACGACGTGTGTAAAATGATTGCATTATACATATTATAGTACTGTATGCCCCACCGGTAGCATACTGCTGTATATATCGGTAGCATACCGACATATATCCTCTGGCTGAGTGTGATGGATTTTTTCTGGATTAGTCCACCTTGATGCCGCTGTCGTCGGGATCCACAATGTCCACCAGATTCTTCTCCAGCTGCAGCATCATCCCGCTGTCGATGCCGCCCTCGAAGCTATCCTCCGACAGCAGTTGCGGCTTCCTGCCCCACACCTGCGACGACTGTCCCCCAGGAAGAGATTGAGATTGTAAAGTGTCACCCAATTAAGGCTCTCGTGGATTACAGGATATCCTACCTTGTTGTGGCTGTTGAAATTGTCATTCCTATCTGCCTTGTAGCCCGCATAGCCCAGATCGCTGCTCGTGTCGTTCTCCATGATCCAGTTCCAGTTGCTCGCCGCCGAGTTCTTGGGACAGATCGGACCGTAGCGACTTTGCATGGAGGAGCCCGTGGGTATATCGAACGTCGCCCCATCATCATTCAGTATGGAATCGGAGCGCTCAAAGAAGAGCAGCGAGGAGTTGTTCTGTCCGTGGCTCTGGCTGTGGCTGTGATTGTGATTGTGGCTCTGGTTATTGGCGCGTCGGAAGAGAGGCAGGGCATCCAAGACATCGCCTGCTGAGTCGCCAGCACCAGAGCCAGAACCAGCTAGGGGCTTGGCCATGTCCATGTCTATGCTAACATTATTCGGCGGTTTCTTTTCATAAAATGAGGTATCAGCTGTTGCGGCTAAAATCGACAACGGTCGGCTGGGATTCGGCTTGCTGGACGGTGGCTGCTGCTGCTGTTGGTGCTGGTGCTGCTGTTGCTGCTGTTGCTGCTGGTAGGGATGCTGCTCCCAGGGATGGCACAGCTTCTCCTCGCTGCCGTAGCCATAGGCCGTGGGATGGAACACATCCGCTGGAAGCATATAGCCCTTGTGGAGGTTACTATTGACATTGAAGCTCGGTGGGTTGGATAGATTGCGTTGCTGTTGCGGTGGTGGTGGCCCGGGGACGGGGCCAGGACTGGCCTGGTACTCCCTGGGCGAGGGATTCCTGGATTGTGCGATCGGCTGTCCGGGGCCGTAGTTGAAGCGCGGATCGAAGCGCCCGGGCACCATCAGCCCATTCATCTGGCGGCCGATGGAGGGGTGATGCAGCAGCTGCGGTGGCTGTGGCGGATGGGTGGCTCCTGGAGAGAGTCCGAGGCCTGGCAGGTTGGCGTTGGGGTCGAGGTAGCCTCTTGGTGATGGCATGTAGTGCATGGGGGACATCGGCATCATGGGCGGCACGCCCAGAACCTGACCCTCGTCTCCGACCATCAGAGGAGGCCCCTGAAGGGGTGTCTTGATGTGTTTGCCCCTATTCCTCGCCCGGTAGCGCTCCACCTCCTCCTGCGAATGGGCGAAGGTGCAGCTGGCGCCGCGAGGACATACACGCCGCACGTTTAGGTCCCGGCAGAGGCTGATCTTATACTTGGGATTGCTGACGGCTGCTCCCGCACTGCCGATGGCGTCCTGGGCCTTACGGACGCCATGATGCTGCAGGAAGTTCACGAGGCCCACGACGGAGTGACGCACTGCATCCAGGGCCTCGGCCACGTCCTGCCAGGGGGCCACCTCCGCGCACGGATCAATGTTGGCCAGGTACTTCAGATGATTGTGGAGATTGGAGAGCTTGGCGGGGTCGCTGGTGCGCTGCAGGGCGATGACCAGCTCCTGGACCGACTGGGCGAAGGAAGACGGTGTCTGCAGCTTGTCGATGATGCTCTGCATGTGGCTCTTGTGCAGCACGTCGCCGTACAAGAGGGAAGACCATTGCTCGGGCGCAATCCGCAGCCCTGCCTCGGTGGCTATCTGAACGATCTGGGCGTCGTGCTCCCTCCTGAGGGCGTCGTAGGTGCGAAACTCCTCCTTGAGCTGCATCAGCGAGGAGTCTGCCTCCCGCTTGGACACCTTGAAGCAGCTGGCGCGGTAGAGCAGCTGCACCACATGGCCGATGCTCGTCTTGGAGGCCTGCGGGAACTGCGGCTCCAGGCGCTGCACCACAAACATGACCAGCACCTTGCGGGACAGCGCCGAGCCCTCCTCCAGAGCCAGCAGAACCAGCTTCAGCACCTCCTCCTGCATGGCCGGGCCCAGGAACTGGCAGCCACGCGTCCTCACCGCCGCCCACAGGTTGGAGCTGAGCTGCTGCGGATTCTGGTGCTGCAGAATCAGCTCGGTGACGGTGCGCTCGCCCAACGAGCGGGCCGCTTTCAATGCCCGCACGCGTCCCTCCTCCTCCATCAGCTGACAGTTGACCAGCGTCACCAGCTTGCGCTGCATGGGCCGCGTCAGCAGGTTGCCGTTGTTGAGGTTGAGGAAGGACTTCAGGTGCAGGGCCAGATCCTCGATGCACTGCTTGCCGAGCTTGTAGCACTTGAGCTGCTCCGGATCGAGCTTCTGCACACTGGGCGGCGCATGCTGCGAGAAGTCCACCGACGGCTCCGAGTCCTTGCCGGGCGGACCCTTGGCCACCAGCTGGAGCAGGGCATGGTTAGTGGGCAAATTGTCGATGTCGGTGACAATCTGCGTCTGAAAGAGGTCGCAAATAATAAGGAAACGAAGGAGTGGAGTGGAATCCCCGCGCTTACCTGATCGAAGGGACATTGCCGATTGTAGAGGGTGGTCAGGCAGAGCTTGCAAATGGTATGCCCACATCCCAAGCTGATGGGGAACCGCTGACTGACCGCAAACTCATTGCCGCAGATGGGACAGTTCAGAAAGTCTGTCCATGAGGGAGCCTGAATCGGCATGCTGCAGCACAACACAACACAAATTCAATTAGTACGGGAAAAGGTAAAGTAAGTAAAGTAAATGAAAAAGTTTCGCTTTCAATGGGTCAACGTCAACGGAGGGGGGTACGTACTCCCACTAGTGGGGTGGGCTGAGGAGTAGTACCCCCAACGTCAGCTGTCGTAGCTCGCTCTCGCACACACGTACACACAGCCACATCTGTTGTACACGCATGCAAGTATGGCTATGTGTCTGTATATAGAATATGCATACATACGCGCACATATGTATGGGCACGTAAACGAACCGAGGCTGGATGCACTTCCTTGAAATTTGGGGAGATCAGGTTCATCACTCTGTGCCACGTACGCGAGGGGTACTCATGTATTTAATGGGTAATCCAACCTTAATGGGGGACAAACGTAACTCGCTTTCAACGTCATCAGCTACTCGGGGGCCCCTGCTTTCTTTTGGTTTGGCTGGCGAACAAAGGCTTTTGTGTGCGAGGCCTCTGCAGTGTGTGCCCCCCACTCCCACTTCCTGCTGCTGCCAGCTCCCGCATATAGGCCAGGCAGACAGTCCTTGAGACCTCCTCTCCTACAGGAGAGAGTCTCCCGTCCACGAAACCGGAGCAAAGTACTTTTTTTTCGTTACGTTTCACTTTTCACTTTCGTCCGGAGCTTCGGACATGCCTCTGGGCCATCGTTTTGAGCACTTGCGTGACACCGACTCACCTTCAAAATGCACATATTATTGCATTAAAGGTACGAAAAGATGTTTTTTAATTTTCATTGGACGTTTATTTTTTATAAAAAAAAATTGGGAAGTTGCAATCAGTATATCAGTATGACCGCAGCTCGCGAGCGGCGGAATACTGAATTTCGCCGGGTATTTTTGACTGCGACAAGCGAAGGTCACCCTCCTCAAACACCGATATCGAGAGTAAACTATCGGTATTTGAATTTATTTGACTATGGCAATTTTATTTGTTCATTTATAATGCTTTCTATTCATGCTACATTCATTTAAAATGTGATTTTTTTTTGTGTACATATATCAGTATGTACTGTACTATTTACTATTTCGCGGCCTGTTTTGCTCCATCAGCGCCGTAGCTGGAAGACTTGCTGATCTTCGAGGCATTCACAGCATGCTGCATGAGGCCGTAGACTGAAATGAAATGATATCGGTGAAGTGAGCGTGTCTCAGTGCAGTTTCATCTACTTACAAAGTCCCAAGATGGAGATGACCGTGAAGAAACCAATCCAGTTGCCCGCAATGAAGGAAGTGATCATATAATACGAAATGCAGGCGACACAAACGGTGGCCCATCCAATAAAGTTTAGCAACGTGGCCAGGCGCGGCTTGTAGATCTTCATGGGTACCTCCTTCACACCCGAGGTCTTGAAGAAGCTGCCCGTCTCGTGGAAGCTATCGATAATGCGATCCTTCTCCATAAAGAACTCCTGCATCCAGGCAGCGGCCTCCTTCTCATCCTCAGGGACATTGCTCAAGGGGACACGGCGAATGTACATGTACGGCTCCACCGTCTCTCCATTCAGCTGGGACAGCATTGTTGGCTTCACCTTGGCATCCCGCTTGAAGGCCAGGTTAATGTCATAGATGGCCGGACAGATGCCGCGCAGTGTGGGCAGGCTGGTGGTGAATCCTTTGGTGCGCGGAATCAGGTGATGCTTGAGCACGGGCAGGCCCCGCTCCTGGGCAAACTTCACGGACAGCTCGTGCTTGGCGGCGGTGTAGCGGGTGCCCTCGGCGTTGAGCAGCAGCCAGACGGGATCGGGATAGGAGAACACAACCTTCAGCTGTTCCTTGATGACAATCTTGTCCTTGTCAAAGTTGCGATCAAGGAAGATGAACTCGGCCATCCACCAGACCCATCCCATGATGGGTACATAGCGGAGCATCTTCTTTGCGTAGGCCTTGGTGTTGCCAACGTTTCCGAATTTATCGGTAACCATCCAGGCGGTTAGCCAGTCGATTTCATATGTGTGGTTCATGAGCAGCAGGCCGTGCTCCTTAGCAAAGTACTTTTTCTCATCCTCGGGATCGATGAAGACGCGAACATGACTGCCGGCATACCACTCGGCCACACACACAAGGACTGAAATTTATATAGATATGCAGACATATAGATATAGTGGAGGTATAGGTGGAAAGATGGGACTCACTGGAGTAGAAGGAGTAGGTGAGATAGTACATGAGACTGCGGCAGAGTCGCTTGTCGAATGGCTTCACACATATGTGCAGGAAAAGCTGGGCAATGTTCACAAAGAATCCGCATGTAAAGAAAGTTACGGCAATCAGCAATCGCCCCAGGCCCGTGAGTTGTCCCATTTCGATCTATAAATAAATGCGATAGGGTTAAAATGGCATGGGGTTAAAATAAAGTGCATTGAATAAACGTAGTTTACGTAACAATTAATAAATATGTCCAGCCAGCGTTCGATATCAACTTAATTATGGCCACCACTCAAACTTTGTTCCCAATGTCTCACCCAACGATTGTGAATGCTTATGACCCTATGTTAATACTACATATGTATGCATGTTTATGGCACACACCGACACCCCCACACACATTCACATACCTGCTATATGCACGAACTTTTTAAAAAACGAATGAACCACTCAATGATCTTGGGGAAGATGCAACCTGTCCTCCCAAACGGTTCTGATCAACTGAATGGAAACGAAATGTTGTCAACTGTTTCCTGTGCCCGTTCGCTGATAGGGATTCTAACGATTAAACGCGCCAATTCGACCAAACCGATAAACTAACATTATCAATAAACCTATTATCAGTCAATAAGCAGTCGGAGTCGAGTGTTACTACTGTTTCACGACATTGGTTATCACAAAAAAAACAATAACCAGCACCCGATGTGTGTGTGTGTGTGTGTGTGTGTGTGAGAGCTTTAATCAAAGGCTAGATAACGGAACGCGCGGTTACACGCTTCTGTTCCCTCCCACTGATCTTTACAACAAATAAGGAGAGAAGAAAGAGAGAGATCGAGAGAGAATAACGGAAAAGTGACCTTTTTGCTCCACCCGCTCTTTGGATACACTTTCCATACTTATACCTTGAAGCGATAAGAAAACGTTTGGTAATCATTATAAATAATCATTTATGTTCATGGGCCCAGGAACGTACTTTGAGGGAAACCGTATCAGCAAAGATAACAACTGTGTTAGTCAAAGGCAATTAGAATTAAAACTATGCATGCACATGTACCCTCTATTTGGTAGTGTACAAACTGAACAAATACAAATAATGTACTCTTATTACATATCTGGTATTTTGTTGTATGGTCACACACACGGAACAGCTGCTTGCTTGCTTGATTGGCCAACTATCGATAAGCAAAATGCGCGCAATATTTTCGTCAAAATTGAATATTTAATTCAATTGAATTTAATAATTGCAATAATCTCCAAATACATTATGAATTAAACAATGCTCACTTAGGGTTTATAACTACCAGCTACTACATACGTAAATTTGATGGCTCCAGTGCACCTCGTAACCATAAACTTAGAAGAAAAACGTAATTTCTTAACCACTTTCTAGTCCGGGGAGGAATCAAATCGTGAATTGATTCATTTAGCAGAGAGTTGTAACGTTGCTTCGGGGCTAATCCGGTTTACAAAATAACTTGTAGATAATTGAGTTCATTAGCTTGGCTTCTTGACTAAAATTGTAATATCAAATAAGAGTTGAATTATTTTGTGCTCGTTTTTGCGGCTGCAGCCGATCCGTAGTTGGAAGCCTTGCTAATCTGTGTTTTTTTTATGGCCTGTCCCATCATAAAGTAGACTAAAATGAAGATCGAAAACAATCAAATAAAGCTCAGACAATGACTAGACAATGCTTACATAGTCCTAAGATCGAGAGGGAGACGATGAAGGCCGTCCAGTTGGCCGCCACCAAGGAATTTATCAAATAGGAGAAGATGAGGGACATGGAGAATATCGCCCAGGCGCTGAAATTCAGCAGCGAGCTTAGTCGTGGCTTCCTGACGTACACCGGGACCTCCTTCACGCCCGAGGTCTTGAAGAAACTGCCCGTCTCGAGGAAGCTATCGATAATGCGATCCTTCTCCACAAACAGATTCTGCAGCCACTTGGCGGCCTCCTTCTCGTCCTCCGGCACCTGCTCCAGCGGAATGCGTCTCATCAGCATATGGGGCTCCAGGCTCTTGCCATGCAGCAGCGACAGCATTGTAGCAGGGTTCTACACAATTATTGGAGCGGATTACAGATTAGGTATGGATGGCAATCAAGAGGGATTAGGCGTTTGTTTTTTACCGTATCTGTTGGCCTGTAGGCCAGGTTGATGTCATAGATAACCGGGCAGAGGCCACGAATGGGTGCCAAGCTGGCGGTGAATCCCTTGGTGCGTGGAATCAGATGGTGCTTGAGCACTGGCATGCCACGTTCCTGGGCAAACTTGACGGAGGCCTCGTGCTTGGCCGGGGTGAAGCGTGTGCCCTCGGCATTGAGCAGCAGCCAGGTGGGATCGGGATAGGAGAACACCACCTTCAGCTGCTCCGTAATTATGGTCTTGTCCTGGTCAAAGTTGCGATTGAGGAAGACGAATTCGGCCAACCACCAGCCCCAGCCAATAATCGGCACATACCGAATGGGCTTCTTGGCGTACGCCTTGCAGTTGCCGAGAACATTCAGCTTGTCGCAGATCATCCATCCGTTGAGCCAGTCGATCTCGTACTTGTGGTTCATGATGAGCAGCACGTGCTCCTTTCCAGCGTACTTCTTGTAGTCATCCTCATCCATATAGACGCTCATTTTGCAGCCGGCATACCAATCCGCCACGAAGACAAGTTCTGCAAGGAAATGGGTCAGGGGTCAGTGTCAGTGTAAAGTTTCCTGGACGACTTACGGGAGTAGAGGGAATAGCAGGCATAGTACATCAGCTTGCGGAAGAGACGTTTGTTGATGGGCTTGATCAGGATGTGCATCAGCAGCTGGATGAGGTTGATGCACACCCCGCTCGTGAAGAACGTGAGGGCGATGCATAGATGGATCAGTCTCAACTGTTTCAGCTTCTCCAGCGACACCATCTTGACCTGAAAGCACAAAAGTTCAATGTTCCAATTATGCTGCAGCTTTTACGTAACCAGTCCGAAACTCTAAAGTTGACTAAAAATACATAGAAGCACCCCCCACTGGGTGAAATAAACTTCACTGGGTGCCCTTCCCGCCTGCATAAATCCCAATTTATGGCCAAGATTGAGCTGCCGTCTTTGTGGTTTTACGGTAACCTGTACACGGCCGTTGCGTTCCGCTCCACACTCACTTTGTTGACTTCGTTCGACCACGCGGCAGAGTTGAAAGCGAGACAGCAACCTGCACAATTCAGCAGCTGAGGACGGACTGGCCTGAGTAATGGCAAACAATCAGATATTGAAAGATATATATAAGTATATATCGCAGGTAATGGCCAAATCTAATCAGCCGTGGCCCCAGGCAGCAACGGGAGTCGCGATTCCACTATTGACGAATTTGTCCACTGTAGGTAGAATTATCATTTATAGCACTCCGATCGTGGACAAAGTCCGTACGATCGGATCGGATTGGATCGGATCGGGCGGTGGTGGTAGGTAGTCATTATACGGCAAATCGTAGATACTACATTCAACGAAGAGGTCTTCGCGTGCTCCTCCCCACCCCATTCCACCCAACACACACACACAATATATTTTAGTGGTGTGTATGCGTATGTGCGAGCAAGGCGTGTGGTGGTGTGATGTGGATTATATTATGGCTATCATCACCTCTCTCTCGCTCTCTCGCACAGCACACACCCACTATTATCATTAACAAAGTCCAACGCTCGGCGATCTGTCACGGACTTTGAAGATATTCTTAGACTTCTTATCGTTTGGTCGCATGCAGCATCTAGTATATGGACACACTGCCGACCACTTTGCTGCATGGATTCTGTGCATTCTATTCTGAGTCTTGCCAACGTGTTCGTTTAGTGAAATGTTAACTCTTGCACTGGCAGACTCAATGGCGGCGCCGCCTACACTTCACTAATTACCTGTTTGGCAATGTTTTTGTGCGAATTTTTTTAATAAATGTTATTTGTTTGCTAAGCGTATAGTGTGCCCCTTTTGCAATAATAATAAAAGGCATTTTTAACGATTTTGGTATTTTTCTGCCGTGTGCCGAATGATATATATCGATATATAGAATGCACAAACAGTATTATTTTCCGTGTATTACAAGTACGCGGTCACACTGTATTGTCTTGTCTGCAATTTGCGAATAAATGCCGAAATTTGGTTAAACAATTGGACAGTCAAAGTGCTGAAAGAAGGCGTTTGCCCGCGTCGGAATAGTTACGTAAAGCTTTATCCTGTCTGGATCTGAAGATTCTGATTTTTTTCGCACACGATAACTCGTACTGAAGCTGAGCGAAATTCAGCCGGCAGACGCAGACGCTTTTTTTCTTGCACATTGCAAACGTGAGCAGCAGCAGTAGCAGCAGCAGCAGGAGGTGCGAGGTAGTATAGAAATGGGTTTGGGTTTGGGGGATAGACACGCATATGTACATACCTGAACATGGTCATAACCGAGTGCTTATAGGTAAAGTCATGTCCAATTCAGAAATCTACGACCCCTCTATTTCGGAGCTGAGCAGCGACGAATACAGCACCGAGGAAGACGACGACGCTCTGATGGATGCCGCCGTCAGTAAGCAACCTCCTACACCCAAGGAGACCAAACCGAGTTCCTCCGAGGCCGAAAAGGCACCGACAAAGCAGCTCCCAGTCACCGTTGAGCTGCCGCCAAATGACAAGAGAACCAAACCGCCGGTCACTCGCGAGGAAACCCTCCGTCAAATCAAGCAAATTCGTGCTTGGAAACAGAGAATTATATACTATAAGCGCCGCAGCATTCGATGGCAAGTGCTTATCAATTAATTGAGATTGGAATTAAATTTGTAATCGAAAATCGTTTTCTAAGCAGGCTCCGTCGGCTCAAACAGTTCCCTGACAGCAAGCTGGAAGCTTTGAAGCGAGCCGTACCCATGTATAGGGCCCATTATAAACGCCTGGACCTATACAGGATCGAGAAGGCGGCCTATCTACAGAAGCAGAGGCAGGCGCGTCAGGCTCGCCAGAGCTCCAGCGACAGCAGCCGCAGTCGTAGTTACAGTCGCAGCCGCAGCAATAGTCGCTCGCGCTCTCGTTCTCGTTCACGCAGCGAGAGTCGCAGTCGCAGTGAGAATAACTCGCCGGAGCTCATCTGCCTGGATGACACCGAAAACGAGGATTCGCCGGAGAAGGCGGAGCCGGCACAGACAGCCAGACAGATGACGCCCGTGAAGGAGGACAATAAGAAGTCGATGCCGTTGCGGCAGGTGGACTTTGAAAAGAATCCGCTTCCACTAACACCCGGGTCTGTTCTAGACGAGTTTCTCACGATGAAGCCGCCAATAGATCAAATGCTGCAACAGCAAGTCGTCAAAGAGATGGATGCCTACGACCTGGCCCAGTTTTCAGCTACCATGAAACAATTGACGGAGAATAATCAGCCGAAGGAGGAAGCGCTTACTGCGGGGCCCACAGAACCCCTGAAGCGCCGTCGTTCGGTGACGCCGCCACCGCTGGCCAGCACCCAGGACAAGCGGCCAAAGCAGATGACCGATCCTGATGACGACGATGACCGTATAGAGTTCATACCAGTCGTGCAGCCCCCACCAGAGCCACCCATTCGAGCTCTAGTTACACAGCAGCAATATCTCCAGCCACAGATGCAGATGCAGCGGCCACAGCATCCACCGGTTCAGGAAAAGCTACAGCAGCAGCAGCAACCCTTAATTGACAAGCCACAGCAGCAGCAGCATCTCCAGCCACAGATCCATTCGCAGATGCCTATGCAGATCCAATCTCAGATGCAGATGCCGAGGCAACAGCCAATGTTGATGAAACGCAAGCCACAACAGCCGCAGCAACATCAGCCCCAGCAACATCAGCCGCAGCAGCATCAGCCCCAGCAACATCAGCCGCAACTACAGCAGCAGCAGCAGCAGCCATTGCAGCAGAAACCGCAGCAGGAATCCAGGATGCCAGGATTCAAACTAAGCACGCCCTACTCTCTGGCACCAGGGGCAGGAGTCGGATCAGGAGCCATCCAACAGGCAGTTAACCTGACGGCCATGGCATACAGCCTAAACACGCCCAGTCCCCCGGCCGTGCCCATGGAGATTTCCTATCCCACCGCGAAGCTGCCACAGACTGCTGCCAATCCGGTGAACCTCCAGATGCCAACGCAGGCCCAGCAGCCACGGCCACCGCCACCGCCACTAGCCAGTCCTCAGACCCAGACCCAGTCTCAGCCTCTGCCCCAGACGCAGACGCAGACATTCGCTGTACCGCAGCAGCCAAAGCCACGCCGCTCAGAGACCGTCTCCACACAGACAACGCAAGCAGCTCAAGCCACTCAAGCAGCAAAAACCACTCAAGCCACACAGCCGGCGACTCAGAATCAGCAACAGAATCCACCGACTGCTCAGAATCCTCCGCTCGCACGACCCAAAGCTCCACCCGTTGATCTCGGAAACACTGATGCCAATTTCCATTACCATCTCCGGTCGCTCTACGAGGAGATGGACACGCAGCTGAAGTCGAAGATATCGCAGGTCAAGCCGGAGCTGAAGGCTCTGGCCAAGGAGAGGGAGCGCGTTGAGTTTGAGATCAAGAATCTGGACAGACAGATCAAAAGGAACGAGGACGAGTGCAATCGTCTGCACTATCTGCGCTGCGTTCAGACCGAGCTGCGAGACCGTCTGCAGGTGAAGGAGCGTGTGGCCGTCATCCAGAAACTGGTCCCCAGCTTGATTGGCCAGGATTGCAGCTACTCGCTGCTGCGTGAAATGCAGTCGATGCTGGGGGAGTCACCGGACCCAGACGTTGCCGCAGATGTCATCGATCGCTGCCTCAGCAAGATGGAGCGGAATAAGGGCAACATAGAACTGCTTCGCACGTAAGTCAACGCCGGACAGAACTCTCCCAAACAGAACTCTAAAGCCCTCTTTCTTGTTTCAGAACCATGGGTGTGAATGCACCAGAGAGCCAACCGACTGCTTCTTCCACTCTCCCCCAAGCGTCGCGACAGTTTGAGGAGCCTTCGCAGCAGCGCAGTCGTAACTCCTTGCCGGCTATGCGTCCGCGTCGAGGATCCATCCATGATATCAATGATTTTTACGATCCGAGGCGCCAGCTATTCGAGGACAGGTAGCAAAAGTCCCTCTTCCTCCCCTTTTGCTCTAGACTCTTATCCCATCCATTTATTTTTGCAGACCGGCCCCATCGTCAAGTGTGGAGTGCTTGGGCGGAAGGCAGTCACAGGCCCAGGTGCCGGGACTGGGCCAGCATTCACAGCGGCTGAACAGGTCGCCTAGCGCGGAGTTTTTTGCCGTGAGGCAGGGACATGGACAGGTCCAGGCACCGCCACACCATCGCAGCCAGAGCTCGCTGCAGGGCCAGTCCGGGATTGAGACCCCAATGAAGCCGCTGTACAACAGCAGTCCCTTGGCCAGCCTAGGCCCACCTACCCACAGAAATGTATAACTGTCTTGATTTTCGATTCCCCCTAATGAACATTATATTCTGATTCGTTATTCAGCACGACGAAATGCATTCCAACTATAATGAGTCCTACTCGTCGGGGGGGCCACTGCAGCCACAGTCCAAGGCCATAGCTAAGGCTTTGGAAAATTACATTAAGAGATCGCAGACTGGCGTCTCAGGCGGAGAGGGCGCTGCTGCCATGATGAATGGCGAGGGGAGAGTATTCATCTGCATGGAGTGCGGAAAGAATGAAGGCAATTTCATGTGCTCCAACTGCATGACTCACTGGTACTGCAGTCGTGACTGTCAGGTGAGCGTTACTCCTGAACCACGAAAATAATTCCACTAAAACTTTTTTTTTTTTTACAATTTTCAGCGATCCGCCTGGGATGCGCACTCCCCGTTCTGTGGCCAATGAATCAGCTAATCAGCATTACTAACTGTGCAACTATAACTAAAAAGAATATAACTTTAATCCATTACTCAGTCGCGTCAGATGCATCGATTATCTAAGTTAAAAGACATACAAGCAGAAAACACAAGTTCATATTCAGAGATTGCAATGCATTAAAAATAATAATTTTGTATTTGTAATTCGCTCTCCGCACTTCGATCAATACAAGACACTTAACCTATCGACCGTTTCGTATTGCCCAACACTACTATCGATAAATATTGTTTGAATGGCAGCGCAACGGCTGCTTTTGAATCGGAGATCCCTTTTTTTGGGGGCAGCATCTAGTATCCTATCCATAATCTGTAATCACTTACTGCGCCTGCGCACCTGGCACAGCAGCTGGATATCATTGATATGCAGATGGAGCGGCTGCCTCTTCGTCCACGGGCCGCGTCGCAATTTCCGGATGCGCAGCTGTCGGCTGCAGTGCAGCCTGAATTTCAGATTCGGATGCCACACATTCGAGGCGGCGGTGGCCGTGTTGGCGCTGGGTGTGACGCATTTATAGGCGTATTGCCACCATAATCGTATGCTTTGCTTGGTACTGTGCTACAATTCGTTGGGTGTGGGCAGGTTGTAAATATTATTGGCCCTAAGCAATCATTGTGGGGGTTTTTGGGTGGGGAAAGACTCACCATATAGACGGGCAAGACGTAGTAGCGCTTACACTCGCGTCGCCTGAAGTTGAACGCTATGGGCTGGCGGTGCGTCGACGACACCTTCGTCAGGTGCGACCGAATTGCGCTGGCACTGGTCGAGCGCTGCAGACGCTGGAGCTGGGAAAAGGCACACCGAGCACCAAGCACGGGGCACGTAATTACTAATTAGTTTTCCAAACAATTGAGCACCTATTCAAATCACAATATTTAATATGCGCAAAATGTTTGCTATTTTGCTTTGAGCTGTACAAAGAATTCGCGCCAAATTTGGCTTGCAAATGATTCGAATCGACTCCGGATTAGGCGCTTTGTTTGCAATCCGCCCGCCGATCGCTTCATCGCTGGAGTGGGATCCGATCCAATGCGGAGTGAGAGTGCGACTGCAATAGTTGGCCCTGAACCTGCTTATCAAAGCGGTAAGAGGCAAACGGTGAACGGCAAAGCTAGTCGCACTTATCGTTGTCTATATACATACATGCATACATACATATGTATGTATGTATGTACATAATTGCTGTAAAAATTACAGTTGTAAGCTTTGCCGCACTATTCTCCTATTCTCATGGCTTATTTATGCGATCCGACAGCGGAGTCATCCAACTTGAAGTTGATTGCTATTAAATCCGCTTATCAGTTTAGAGTCGCTATTCAAATTAACACTGTAATGAAATCGAAGCATCGCCCCCAATCCCACACCCACTCCTCTCTCTCTCTCTCTCATTCCGTTCTGTCTCTGTGATTTGTTGTACCCGCCGACTAGCTGTTGTACCCTTCTGCAGTGAAGGGTATCATGATTTGGAGTATCAGAAAGCATCTTCGAACCCACAAAGTATGCTGTATTTGTACAGCTTTCACGATTCTTTGTGAGAAAAAACATTTGATTTTGAAGCTAATTCCATTTTGAAGTGCATATACATTCCTTAAGGGTATCCAAATCTTCGCCACTCCGTAGTGATAGCCTTCCTTTTCTGGTTTTTATTTTGTAGTACAAGTATTAAACAGTTTTACAAGCCGCTAACGCTCAGAAATTGTTGCTAATTAGTTGAACCCGCGCGCGCCGGCGCAGCGGACCTTAAAATCGAGCCCCATGGTGCGGTATGCGGGTGGCGGAGGCAGTGCCAGCTCTTATAAAGGTGTACTGTGACTGTGTGTGTGTGCGAGAGTCTGCGTCAAGATTGGAGGCAATCGAGCTGAACTAGATGCGGTCTCGGATGGGGCTTTGGGGTCGATTGAGTGCAGATCAGGCGATGAGCAATTTGTTTTGTTCATTGTTTTCTTTTCAAGAAATCAGAAATCAGAAATTAAAAAGGACCTTGAATGCAATTTCTGTGATTTAATTTGCATGCGAAAAATAGAAATACTAAGTCGGGGGCATTTTTCAGTGCATTCCATTCCATTCCATTTCATTCCTCTCTCCGCACAACAGTCGAATTCAAAACTTCGACGTCGAAAAGTCCCGTTGCGCGGCCATGTCACTTTTGCGATCCCATGAAAAACGTTAAACGCTTCACTTTGCTTTGATTTGCTTGTGATATTTGCCTGATGACAGGCGCAATTAAACAAATCTCAACGCTTCGATTTAAGCGATTTGTGTGCGCCTTTTATTTGTGGAATATTGTCGCTTGTTGTCGATGTTGTACGACGGTACACGGTATGTGCGTGTTGCTGTTTGTATTTGTGTGTGTCACTATCTCTCTGGCGAGTAGAGTATCTGGCAGCTATATCTAAAGGGGGTGTCGGTGTCGTGTCTCCCTGGCCTGCGCTGCCGTTGCTTGTCAGTGTGTGTTTCTGTTCTGTTCTGTTTGTGTCTCTCTATGATTCAGCGGCGCCCTCAACCCAACTCCCACCACAATGAATGGCTGTCGCTGTGTTCCGTTCTGCGTTTCAGTTCAGTACATTGGGATCGCTGGGGACTACTACGACGGTTGCACGGCAGACGATTTTGAATTCGCAATTTTGTTTCAGTTTTCGGTTTCTCGCCTCTCGGTTTGGGGCTTCGGTGCTTCGGCTCTCCCAAGTAAAATTCATGTTAATGAATGTTAATTTATACATTTGTAAGAATCTAAAATCTGTTTTTCCATACACAACAATTATTGACTGCTGCTGCCGCGGCCACTGCTGTTGGCGCTGCTCCCCAAATTTGAATTTGGAAACAGTCGCGCCTGAAACGCCGCCGTGAACGCGCACACTGCTCCCTGCTCCCTGCTCTCTGCTCTCTAGAACAGTAGTTCCTTTCCTTTCCCCAACACCCCAAATAAAAAAACAAAAAACAAAGAGCAAGCAGGGCAATGGATCCCGAGTTTGTGAACAAATACAACCAGGTGCTGAGTCGCCTGAAGCTCATCGAGAACTTCGATGGCAGCGATCCTGGGAAACTGCCGCCGTTCCTGCAGCGGATCGAGGCCCTGATGCCGGCCATCAACAGCTTCGACGACTACTACAAGGCACAGCTGATAGGACACATCAAGAACAAGTGCACGGATCGGGCACGGGAGGCGGTCTTCACCCGACAGATGAGTGCCCCGGCGGCCAATGGGAATGGTAATGGTCATGCCAATGGGCATCTGCTGAAGGCCGAGTCCTGGCTGAAGCTGAAGGATCAGCTGCTGTACAACTACGCGGAGCGGGAGTCCAGCTACTCGCTGATCCACAAGATCCGCAGCGCGGTGCTGGACTCGAACATAGAGCTGTACTACCAGAAAATGGCCAAGCTGAAGCATCGACTGATCAACCGGAAGCTCACCCACAACGACACCCTGTACGCGCTCGAGGACATCGAACGGATCACGCTGCAGGTGTTCCGCGACCACCTGCCCGAGCCCACCCACTCGATGATCCTGCGGCGCAACCCCAAGAGCATGGAGGAGGCCTACCGCTACATCGTGGAGGTGCAGCAGCAGTTCTACACCCAGAGCGGCTCCCTCGGGAGCGACCAGCAGGCGGCCACCTTCAGCACCAGCCACAAGCAGCACCACCACACATACGGCGTCGGCATGGGCGGCGTGGGCGTCAGCACCGTGGGACTGGGCGTGGGCATGGGTGCAGTGGGTCTGGGCATGGCCTCGGGCGGCTACGGCCGCCAGATGTCGGACAAGGGCAACAACAGCCAGAATGCCAGCTCCAAGAGCTACTACAACCAGGCGGCGCCAGCCGTGGGAGCGGGTAAGACGAGTCCCATGTTCAAGAGCCTCGGAAATCCCACATTCAAATCCAGCTTCAGCTACAACGGCAGCAGCAGCGGCAGCATGTCCGGCGGCATGGGCTACTCCAATGCGAAGAAGGACGTGAAGGCCAACTATCAGCAGCAGAAGAATCAGAACCAGAACCAAAAGAGCTCCATGAAGACCGCCAGCATGGGTGGCGGCAGCAGCTGGCGGAAGTAGCAGCCTTACAATCCAGATCCCGTATCTGGTTTACAGCTCATGGGGGCCAAGGTGGGGCGATGATCGTGATGCTGATGATGATGGGCTAATGAGCTAAGCCAAGCGCATGATCTAATCTCTTGGGCAAGTGACTAAGCCAAGGCTGGGAGATTGGATGGATGTCGAGTGCATGCCTCATGCTAATTACCCCCCACCACCAACCCCAACCCCAAAGCACTGTGTCTAATAGTTAGTTCAATCGATGATGATACGGATGATGTGGATGAGGATGTGAATGTGAATGTGGATGCAAATGACGACGAATCGATGCGATGACCGTGCCGACATGTTAATTATTATCTCATAAGACTCAAAGTGTACATAGCCCCCACCCTACCCCACCCCACTCCACTCCCTCTCCCATTTACCATAACAAAACCCACCTACAACCCTTCAAATATTGTTTCTGTTTACCAATAAAGTGTAAAGTCTAACGCCTCGTGCCTCCAGTTTTGTCTGGTTCATGGATTACTCATGGATCCCCCTGCTAATAGATCTATTTATGGCACTCACTCGGATCGCTGAACTCTCTTGGAACCATTCGCATTATACTTGTGCGCACTCATACCCTTCCATTACATCTAAACCTTCTACTCACCACCTGTTGGGCAGTCGAATGCGAGGCAGATCCTCGCTGATCGTAGCCCATGTCCTGCTGTGTGGGCTCTGACACCTCCTGCAGCTTCACAGCCTTCGGCTTGGACTTGTCCTTGTCGCTCTTGGGATTGCCGAAGAGGCCGCGCTGCTCGGCCCGTCGGATGAGGTACTTCTCGTTGAGATGCGTGAGGTGCTTGCGGCGCGCCAGGGAAAGGAAGCTGCCCGTCGACTGTTGCCGGATGCAGTTGTCCTGGTGGATGCAGATGTCCGGCACCGTGTCCTGAACGAACTCGTCAATGTCCGGGGTGACAATCAGATCGATGCTGTCCACGCGGGGCAGGGGCGGCGCAGAGGATGGGGCTGGCAGCTCCGGCTGCGACTTGCGCTTGTCCTCGGCCGACAGTTTGTCCTTTTTGCGTGGCGAATCCTTGCTCATGGCAGCCGCCGGAACGTTGGCGGCCTCCAGCTCGGCCAGCGCCTCCAGCCGCTTCACTTCTTTGTAGGCATTGCGATGCTTCTCGAGGGCCAGCTTGTTTATCAGCTCGATGACGTGCTGCACCATGTCCTCGTTCTCGGTGCTCACTATGGAGTGCGTCTGGTAGAGGACGAACTGCACCTGCGGCCGCGACATGGACATGGTGAGGGTTAGCAGCTGCTCCTCCAGGATCAGGGCCACACGCGTGCGACCCTCGTCGCTGACCTCCGACTCGGTGAGGACCTCCAGCATACTGAGATCTCCGCCCCGCGAGCAGATCAGATCTATGGGATCTGAGATGGCACTGAACGAGTTCGGGGGCGTGGCAAAGATGCCCACGACTGTGCGGAATCGATTGGACTCCATCGGGAAGGAGGTGAAGGCGTCGCCAAAGAGTCGTATATTGTTCACGCCAATGGACTCCATGTAGCGTCGGTAGTCCTTCAGATTGGTTCCCGCTCCGTACACATAGAAATTGTTCACGCGGTTGATGGAGTAGAAGAGGGCCGCCAGATAGGCGGTGGACCGGGGCGAGCCAATGTGCGTCTGCAGTATGTCTCCATCCAGCTCGAAGTAATCCATCATTTTGGACATAATGGCAGGGCCAAAGGTGAAGTTTTTGTCCTTAAAAAGAGAGAGATAGTGTGTCTAGAATCTAGATAATCACATGACACCCTCAATTATCAATTTACAGCTCGGGGAAATTGCTCACAGTACGTGGAGTGGCACTATCAATTAATCTGACAACACGACTGGATAATTATGACACATACTGAGGCCTCGCGTGTGGCCAGAACCCACCTGCATGATGAAGTAATGTTTGGTCATCAGATCGGACTTTGTGAACTCGCTGCGGTCCTTGGGAATGCAGGAGATGACCAGCGGACAGATGTTGTCCCACTTGCAGTGCTGCTCCAGCAGTGGCTGCTCATCGTCCGGCCCGTGTACAGTGAAGCCCATTTCTGTCAGGATTTTATCTGCCTCCACTTTGGTGCTGGGAATTCACTTGAATAGAGTTTTGGGATGCAGGAGATCTTCGACTCTGTCTACGTACCGCACTAGAAAGGGATTGATCCAGCCGGTGACCACAGGATTGGCTGCTGCAATGGCCACCTTTTCGTTCTGCAGATGAATCGGGAGTAACTGCGAGAGTCGCAGCGCTCCCACCTTGATCCTCATGCGGGAAAATGAGGCAGCCAGGCGTATACGATGCTGCCAGAGCACACTTGCCAGATCTAGTTGGGTTTGCGATGTGAGAGCAGATGCTATAGGGATTTTGTGTGTGCGGACCAACCTGTGACCTCTGCCTCCTTGTAGAGGCTCGCCTGAAGCTCTTGCTCTTCGGAGTTGCGGCCCTTAAAGTGGCGATCGTGGAGCTCAAACAGCATTAGCCATATGCGCTGCTCGTCCTCGAGATACTGCAACAGAGAGTGAGGGAAATATAGAGAGCAATTATGCAGTGGACGATGAATAGCCACCTGACTGTGCTGCTCAAAGAAACAGACATCGTTCAGGGCATTCGACAGCACAACCTTGTCTATAAAGGAACACAACGAATGGGATCAGATTGGACTTTAAAGACTTTGCGGCTACCTACAACGGAAGACGTCGTAGACCAAAGAGTAGGCCAAGCGCATCTCGTGCTCATTCCGAAACTGAACGGGAATGGGGGGCTTGCGGAGCAGCTTCGCAGCATTTCCGATGGTGGGCAGGGTCCAGCGGGCGCCCGTCTTCAGCCTGACCTTCACGGTGGTGGCGTGGCAGTGTTTCAGAACGCGACTGCGTCGCCCATTGGGACTGACGCCGGGCGTGAGGATCTTGGTGATGCGCAGCGGATCGAACAGCGGCTTCAACTTCTTGTGGATGTCCTGCACGGAGAGGGAGTCGTCCGAGGACTCGTTGACCTGGCGCTGTATCTCCAGCAGCATGTAGTACATCTTGTCCTGCCACTCCTCGTCGCTGGGCAGATAAATCTGTTTCATTTTCTTTAGCTTTTTGCTCTGCTCCTTGAAGATGGTGGGATAAATGGAGAAGATGTCCGCGAGGCTGAGAAAGAACAGCTGGTTGGACATGGCAGCAGCGAGACAGCGAGTGAGAGAGTAACGGGACAAGCGAGAAACGAGAACCGAGCACTTGCAGCGAGCAGCAGCAACTGAGGATGAGCGGTCGCGTCGCGTCTCCTTTCGATGGCGTGTCTTTCATCTCCCTTCCGCCTGTGCCTTTGGCCTTCCTTCTCCCACTCCCTCTGCCACTGTCACTGCCTCTGCCACTGACTCTGCCCTTCCGCAACCAATTTCCAATGACAATGACAACTGCTGATTTTATATTCTCATTCTCCCATTCACCCATTTCCATTTCCATTTCGTTCGGTTCGTGCTTAACACCAATTCAATGCTGGGAGTCGGATCCGACATCGACTGCGCTGCATGCTCCATGGAATTACTTATCTATCTCTGTTGCTGCTGCTGGTGCTGCTCCTCCTCGCCCCCCATCACTCCTTTCCACCTGTCGCCGCATGCAATGTGCACGCCAATATTGAGCACTTGCTCTGACTCCCTCTCTCTCTCACTCTCTTTCTGTCCAACTGACAGCTAGCAAAAAAATATCCACCACAAAGGACAAACGGAGTAAGGGACGCAGCATGTCGTAGCATTTGATACCCTTTAAGGAGAGATTGTTCTCATGGCACATAAAAAAGTCATCAGACTAGGATGCAATTTGTATAATCTTTCGATCACTGTGATCACATTTCATTACACATACATACATACATATGTATAGGGCATGCAGCAGCACAGACGAACATTTTTCTGCATTGCACACACCTGATGGAAAAGGGTCATACCCTCCGAGAGGGTATTAATATGTTACAGTTACACCAAATGGGTTACGATTCAGCAAAGAAGCGCGCGAGAGAGTGGGAAAGAGAGGTGGTAGCAGGACAGAGGCAGATCGAAGCGATATCACACTTACCTTTTATTTTTGATAGCTTCGGTAATAAATTCTGGGTAATAAATTCCGTTTGCCATATTCGCATGATTTGCTCTGATTGGAATACGTCTTCAATAAATTGCCAAAAATGTCACAGTCAAAGCAGCGGAGACACGACACGCACGCAGGGCGGTGGGAGGGGGGACAGAGAGAATGATAGAGGAATAGACATCGACATCAACATTGACATGGACGGGGGGCTGCTATTCTTCGATGTGTTGGCATTGATTGGGTGGAGCTGGCATCGCCATACCCTCGTATTGGGGCTCAAATCGCTTTAGTCGAACATCAAATTAGTTGTTGATTAGAAGGGCTCTGAATAGCAGTTTGGAATGAGTACGGCGCAAGGAGGGAGCTACAATTTATTGGCCTAGGTCAAATATCGATTATCGCCCATCAGCCGCCGTATATTATTGGGTCAGAGACTGAATTGAATGTCAATTTGATTGGCATATCTGGGGTGCATGTAGATACATAGTATATCCCGAGTAGTATGGGAGGAGGGTGACCTTGAGCTGGAGTAGAAAGTTCAGCCACAGAGCTAGGAGCGAGAGAACTGAAATGATTTCGCCTCTGCTTAATTGAATTGAGTTACTTTGGTTAACTTCTTAACTAAGATCAATTATAATTGGAAAAAATCATATCAATTAAAAGCCCCTCTGATTCATCTACCCTGATAATTGACCACAACACTGACCAGGCAGGTTTTACGTTGGGGTTCCTCCGCTCTACGCTCTACGCTGTCCGCTATCCGTCCATAGGGTTGCTATCGGAAACGAATATTATAGTATTGTATATAAGCGAGTACCTATGACTGGTGGACAGAAATACTTAGATATGAATAAGCAAACTTGAATTAAAGTTATCAGAAGTGCATGTCAAAAGATAACTCGAGTATCATAATTAAATTTTTCTTCTTTTCAGTGGTCTTTCCTGGGCTGGGCGAGACCTCAGACCTCAGACCTGAGGCTAGGCGAATGGTATATGGTTAAAGCCACCCCAGCTTAGGGAAGACTCACTTATCGGGACAGTGCGTGTCCGTTGGCAAATCCTCCATCATAAATCAGTGGGCGAGTTTCTGGGCTTTGGTTTTTGTTTTGTTTTTTATTAAGAAGCATATTTATTATATATAAGATGTATGTAATACAATAATTTTTCTTTCTTTCATTCTTGTCTGTCGTTCGGTCTTCTGTCCGGGGGTTTTATTTTTTTATGTTTGTTTTTATGGTTCTGTCGGTTTCATTAAATTTCAGTTTTTTTCGGTTTTTCATTCAGTTTTCGTTTCGTTTTGTTTTGTTTCTTTTTTATCCATTTTATATATAATCATATAAAACACTGAGCTACAATACAAATATTGTGATAAAAACTTACAACATAACCTTTAATACATAAAAATACTTGCGTAGTCTACAAATCGTATCGTTATAAGAGATTTTCTTCTTCTTCATGGATCGATCGCTCTCGCTCGTTCGTTTCGTCTGTTCTTGGCTCCACCTCTCTTCTTGTTCTGTTTCTCTCTTTTGCCTTGACCTTTTCCTAAATTGTTTTCATTTCGCCTCAATGGGTTCTGTTTATGCTTTTGCTTTTGCATTCGCTTTCGGTTTTCCTACCGTCTGCCTGTCTCTGTCTCCGTCTCTTTTGCTTAGTTGTTTGTGATCTACCCTATTAAAAAAAGACTTAACTTCTTTCATTCATTCGTTCGTTCGTTCATTCTCCTCCATTTCCGTTTCCAGCTGTTCTTTTTGTATATTTGCTCTGGTGAGGGTGTGGGGGAGTGATTCTTCGGGATGAGTGGGAGGAGGAAGAGATGATTGCAAAAGCAGAGAAACAACGCAAACGTTTACGGTAAAGGTAAACCAGCATTCCAGAGGGGCAAGTCAATGCCAGGAAGAAAAGAGTGTTCGAGAGAGATTGAGAGAGAGAACGATTTGCCCCCGGAGAGAGAATTGCATCATGAGTTCATCGAGTTGTCCTTCTTCCTCCTACTGATGTGGGTTCGTGTGGGGTGGGTGTTTTATATGATTCTTTGCTTGTGGATTGTGGGTTGCGGGTGGTTGCAGCGTTAATTACAGTAGAAATGAGGTTCATATTTATATATATATTTGCATAATCAGAATCATAAACATAATTTTAACTTAGGACAAAACATTGACAAATTAAAATTGAATGGACGTACCAAAAAAGAGAATATACAAAAAATTATCATAAATTTTGTTCTTTTCGTATGTTAGTGCCGAGTATTTTGTTTTAGATCAATTGTTTTTGTTTTGTTTTTGGTTCGAATTGGTTTGATTTGTTTTGTTGATTGTTTGTGTGCGTGTTAAAAACATCGATAAAGCCAATGCTCTGAGCAGATCCATACGAAAGGGACTATGGTGAAATCATAGTTGTATTTATAATCGTTAAAGTATAATAATATAATAATAGAAGAACCAACATACAATGTTTCGTTATGCGTTATGCTTTTTTGTTTTTGCGTTTTGCTTTTTTTTTTGTTTATACACATTTACATATGCATAATGGGCGTTATATAAGGGTTTATATGTATATAATTATAAGTAATAAATTTGTATCCTTTTTGTTTCGTTTAATTATTTGCACACGAGAATCAGAAATTACTATTTGCAATCATATATATATAAAAAATAAACTTAATTGCCGGCAAACGGGGGCCAAACCCAACCCCCTACACATATCATATCCAACATCCCTATATCATTCCTATACCATTTCCCATTCTCATTCCCATTGCATTCCATCCCTACTACAACGTCATCATCACTATATATCATATCATATCATATATATATCATCCTATCGTACTTGTTCCGGGATTTACTTTAAGCTTAATCAAATTTTGGAAGAGTAAACAATACCACCGAGTTTCTTGCAATTGTTGCTGCATATGCTATATGTGAGTGTGTTTGTGAGTGTATATGGATGAGACTGTTTGTGTGTGTGTGTGTGTGAGTATGTGTGCTATATAGATCGCCTTTGAATGAAAACTAATGATTAATGCGTGTATTGTATGCTTTTGTGTTCTGTTCTGTTATGATCTTTCTGGCTTCCGTTTTTACTCTCTTTTTTCACTCACTCCTTTATCTCCTTCTTTATTTTATTCGAGTTCTTTAACTAATTTTTTATAATTTCCTTCCCTCTGTCCGTCCTCTCCTCTTAATATTTATACGTATAAACTTTTATAATTTTATACTAAATGTTTTTGTTACGGTTCTTTTTTTGGGGGGTTTTTTTTTGTTCATTTTTTGTGTGTTTCGTTTTTGTTTCTTGTTCTTGTAATACAAACGTCATCGTGTATATATATAAAAAAAGATGTCCAAAGTTTTTACGTTACGTTATTGTATATATACTTTTTACTTTTTTGTTTTTATGTTTTTCCGCTTTTGCGCTTTTTGTTTTACTTAGTGGATCGATCGTTCTTTTGATGCTGATGGTGAGATGGTGTTCTGTGCCTGCTTTTTGCTTTACAGTTGTCCTAGGTTTTTGTTTTTTCTTTCTTTTAAATGTAAATGGGTCTCTTCTCTTAGAAAACGCTTGTCGTCCGGTGTCTGAATGCTTATATATGAGAGCGCAGCGCCTAGCTATATAGGGCCTTACTATATAGTATCGTACTACATATGTATATATATATAATGTGTGTGTATGTGGGTGTTTCCTTCCTCCGACTGTCCGACTCGTATGTATATATATATCGGGATATACATATGAATACAACTAACGGCGAATTTACTTTGTTTCCTCCTTCTCTTTGTTCTCCTCGGTCGACTCCTTCTCATTCGACTGCAATTCAATGATGGAAATAATTGGTTAATGATTCATTTAAGGATATTATATATTCATGGACGTACCTTGTCCTTCTCCAACTCCTTCTCAATCTTATCGCCCTCGGGGCCCTCTTGCTCATTTGATTTCTCCTGCTCGCCACCCTCCTTGCCTTCCTTGGTCTCGGGTCTGCAACAAAGGATACAAATTCAGTTAGAAAATGTCTCTATAAAGGGAGGGAGTCCATGCCGCGTATTTGTGTACTCACTCTGGCTTGGGAATGTGCGCATTGAGGTCCAGCTTCGTGCAGATCTCATCCCAGTCGGGGAAGCACTTGTCCTTCATGCGCGACACGTGTCCAATCAAGTTGGGGCACTTCTCGGTCATGTAGTCACGCAGCGGGTACGCGATATCCTTGGACAGATAGTGGAGCTGCGAGAGCACCGCAAAGGCCACCACATCAAGGGTGGTGGGCTCGTCGCCGAAGAAGAACGGCTTGCAGTCGAGCATCTCGCTGAGGACCTTCAGGTCGTTCTTGCCGAACTCCTCGATCTCCTCGGCGCTGTGGACGCCGATGCCATGCGCCTTCAACTTTTTCGTGCCCTGGAACCACTTGTTGTGTTGAATATGGTTTTTCCGTGTTTTTTTTTTTTTGGGGTATATTCGGGTGGTATGGCCGACAATATGGTTACGGGGGGTCAACAGGATGCAGGATGACCAACACAGCAGACACACACGCACAAGCACACGGGGAATATGGGGTTATAGATGGTTGGGGAATACACCAATGCACACACACACACACACAAAGATTACAAAAGTTAGAAGTTAGAAACGAAAGTACGTGAAAAAAACGAAAAAGAAAAAAGAGAAAAAACCATGCAAGAGTTAGTGATAAACATAACGATTGTATTTTTTTTCGTTTATGAATATGAATTGGAATTTGATTAGATTGTTAGTGGGGTGTGTTCCCTTGGAAATGTTTTTAAATTAATTCTGGAATCTGATTTTCACAATTTTCACAACTTTCCATCGATTTGGCGGAAGTGAAATCGAGATGTGTGTTTCCATTAATAGATTTTTTTTTTCTTCAAGTTTCATTCGAATGAACGAACAAATAATTCAAAATCATCTTAAAACATTTCCAAGAAGACGGGCCACTGCTATTTGTCTCGTTTTGGGGTTTTGGATTCCATTGTTTTTCTCGTTTGGGTTTTGTTTAGATTTAGTTTTTGTCGATGGGTAGGGGGGGAGGGTGTTGGTGGTTATGTGAGTACCAGTACCGAGGCATAAACAACAATCAATCCCGCGAAAGGGACGCGATAATATTGTTTATGCCTCGTTTTTGGAGTTGGATAAACTATGTGTCGGATGGCAGCGACGGCGTTGTCGGTGTTAGGTGCAACATAATACGCCACCGATTTCTATCAACAGATTCTCAAGTTGAGGATTTGTTTATTTACACTACTATACCCATCCCCATTCCCATGCCCATTCCCCCAGTTGCCATTCCCCAGCGCCAAGAGCGAAAATCCCTTTAGGTTTGGTTTCTGTTTCCAATTGAAATCTAAACAAATGATAGCAAACTGCAGGGATCATCAGCTTCTGGCGTTGGAGAACGTACGAGATAGGAAATACGAGATATATCGTCAGCTACGTGGATCTACTGTGGCTACAGGACTGTGACTGTGACAGCGACTATTTGTTGGCTTTGGTGGGTTACCTTGCGACCAAAGGTTATCTTGAAGAAGAAGTTCAAGATGGAGTTGGGCAGACGCAGTCCGAGGGCGTGCTGCAGATTGACCTTGTAGCCCTTGAGCACATTGTCCGGGTACTTGGCGCGCCAGTAGAAGATGATCCAGATGAGATGATTCTCCAGCATGGCGATGGTGGCATACGACACGTTGCGCTGCTCGGCGGTGAGGCCAGAATCCAGATTCTTCTCGTATTTGGACGACAGTTCCTTGATGATAATGGCCGAATCAGCGATTTCCTCTCCATTCAGCTCGATGAAAGGCAACTGACCCTTCTTCGAGCGGAAACGCATCTTATGATCGACATTCTGTAAATGAGGAAAAAAAAAAAGGGGGAAAACATTCATTTAGTGCTGCGATGACTCGAGGATGAGTAATGCTACGGAAAGGAGGGTGGAGTCTGTTAATACGAGAATATGTGTACAGTGTACGCTGTACGCAATCATCTCCCACACTCCCACTTTATCTGGCATTCCATTCCCATGACTAATACGAAATGTAGTTCAATCCCAAAAGAATTCCGCCCGCTAGATGGCGCTCATGACATACATAGAGAGTGTCCTGTACGAGTATGCATGCGTGTGTGTGTGTGTGTATATTTTCTATGTATGCCACCAGAATTGATGCTGAAAACCAACCACTACACAAAAAGCTGTACCTTGTAGAAAACCGAACGAACAGTATGGAACATCGTTTCAACCCAAAAACCTAACCAACACCCAACTACCCCCAACTGGTCACACAGATACTCGCACACACACACACTTACGCGCAGAAACACACGCTCTAACGCACACAACGAAGAAGGAGCAGAAACAGGAGAAGGAGCAAAGCAAAGCAAAGCAGAGCAGGAGCCGGGAGCCAGAGCCGAGAAACTTCCAATTGCCGCTATTTGAACATTTTTGAGATATTCCAGTGGTCTGCCACTTCCACTGGTACTTCCAGTGTGTACACACGTATGCATAAACCGTTACTTTTTTGATGTGACAGTTATGTCCGTGTGTGTGACGCATGTCGCCCGTCGCCTGTCGCGTTTTTTTTTCTTTCTGCTTCGCTGCTCAAATTTACATAATAATTTCTAATTAGAAATTGGTGCTGTCCATAACAAAAGCGAACCCCCGCCATCCAATAATGGCTGTTGTTGGCATATTTTATGCTTTCGCGCCCTGAATGCGGCAGAGAAGCAAGGCAGGCGGCAGGGTGTGGTTGCCGACACACTCACACAGGCACACACATTGGGGAGAGGAATATAGAGAGAGAGACCCCAGAGAGGACAGCATTGGAAGAGAGAACAGCAGCAGCAGCGGCCTGTTTGTTATAGAGAGATTTTTGCCTTCCAGCAGCAGCATCATCATTGCCTGTCCAGGCTGCTGCTGCTGAAAAGGGTGGAGTCCGTTGGAGCACATTTAATTCCAATGATCCACAAAAAAGGCAGCCTGTCTGCTGCCTCTCCTTCTTCTTCTTTTGCTTCTTCTGCCTCCACCAACGCAATATAACGGTTTCTGTCAATGCTGGCCGAGGCAGGCGGCAGCACTGCGCCGCCGCTTTGTCGCCATACAATGCAAATATTTAGTTTTTATTAAATCATTATGCCAATTAAGGAGCGGCGGCGGCGGCAATAATGGGAGCTCCTCCACTTTTGCTGCAGGGCTCAATTTTCCTGCAGTGTAGAGTTCTGTTCGTTGCACGCAACAACAGCAGCAGCAGCAGCAGCAAAAGTGCTCTCAAATTGCAGAGAACAAGAAGAAGAGGGAGAACACATGCAATTATGCAGCACATGCAGGCCCGCGTGTATGTGTGTGTGTATCCACACCCCTGTCAAAAAACTAGAGAGACAGACGAGACGAGTAGGAGAGGAGAGCGAGCAGCAGGAGAGTAGTTGCAGTCCCACTGAGTGAGCAACAACAAAAGAGCCAGCAGCAGCAGTAGAAACTCTCGTTGTTTTAATGCAAATATGCGGTTTATTAATTAAAACAAAAGGCAGAAACAGCAATCATTTCTTCTTTCAAAGCAAAACTGAAACTCCATTTCCTCTCACTCATACACACTTACACACACACGCACACATTTGCACGTACAGTTGCAGCGGCAAACGGCATATCCAGAGAGTTGCCAGACTGTTCGCTCACACATAGCCATATTTTGTGCTGGCAATATTGTGAATGGAATGGCGCGCCAGCATTTTCCATTTGAATTTGTAATTGAAATTTATGCATTTGTATTTGTAATGCATTCTCGTATATATTGAAAATGTGAATTAATTGCACAATCTACAAGGCGGCGACACTTCACATTGGAATGCTAGATATGCGGGCTATGGGCCGGGGTTGGGCCACCGCCTAAAAATGATATTCGATGTGGCTGGCTGCTGTTTGTTAATGGCTGCGACGCGTCGGGCGCCGGGTATGACTCGTAGCGCAGCTCGGATTGTGGCGTGAAAAAAGATATGCATTTGGTTTATCATCAATAAAGAAACAACTTCTACTCTTGTTTACACAAAAGAGAAGGAAGGGGGGAAGGAAAGCGAGATGTAAAGAGAACTGCGGCAATGCGTTTACAATAACAGCACAGAGACGTTGCATGCAGGGGGTCGACGCTGTGCCAGAGCAAGGCCCGGGGGGTGGAGAACTTGCTTAGTCAGTTTTCATGACATGGCACCCCTCCCTTTCATGGTGATTAATGGATAAGAGAATGAGAGGGAGCGAGGGAATAATGTCAAAGGTCTCAGTTTGTTGAACTCTTCCGCTGTTATCAGAGAGCGCAATCGGACCCCCGAAAAAAAAATGAAAATGGAAAGTATTTTCCAGCTGCGGGCCTGACGGACTGTCAATCATAATTGACTGCAGCTCTGCTTTCTTTTTGGAATGCAACATATGGCAGCGTGCTACTGGAAGCATGGGAGTGGAGTGGGAGGGAGTGCCGGCTCTTATCGGTTCTCTGGCATCTTGAGAGGCAGCGACAGTGGCAGCGGCGCATCAATTAACATTCCTCATGGGCTCATTTTTCATTTACCAAATGTGTAATTAATAAGATTAAACAACAATTGCGTCGTTGTTGTTGCTGCTGTGTAGATGTGCGGGTGACCGCACCCATTTCTACCCACCTCCCACCCTCTATTTGTGGGACAGGCAGGCAGCTGCCAGGGCAAGTTTTTCCTATAAAAATATGAAAAATATGCAAACCGCATCGCGCGCTTCAAAAAAAAGCAAAAGCTAAAATGGAAGCCCCAATGGAAGTCGTTGACAGTTCCCGTCGCCGCCAGCCTGCGCCTCTGCTCCGCCACTATTACAGCTACTTAACGGGCATAGAGATAAGCATGGCAAAGCCAGAAGAAGGCGAAGACGGAGACGGAGAGAGCGCGGCTTGAAGTTATTTCCAAGACGGGGGGGAATGGCACCGTCTCAAACTACATCAATTTTTATTAAAAGCAATTACAAGCTGCAGAGCGGAGGCGGAGGCTGAGAGGATAGCATGAAAGAAGTGCAACAAAGACAAAGAGCAGATACTCACACAGACACACACACACACACTCAAGCAAAAAGAGAGAGAGACGAGAGTCGGAGCGAGAGAGACAAAAGGAGAGAGTCGGCAGCGCCAAGTGCAAAATTTGAAGCACGACTTCATTTCGCCTGTTGTTGTTGCTGCTGCTGCTGGTGCTGGTGTTTTGGCGAGTGGAGTCGTGGGGTGGGGTGGAGGGGGGTTCAGAGCATAAAAGCACAACTTTATGAGAGGCAGCGACGGCGCACACACAAATTTTATGTATACGCTGTTTTATGTAGACACACGCATACACACCATGGAGTACAAGAAATCCGGCCAGGCTACAGGTTCACACACAGACGCACACATGGACAAGTCTACTGAAAGAGAGAGAGCGCTAAATGTATCCCTTTTTCAGCTCAATGCGAGGGCAGGGCAGGGCAGGTCACACACGTACACACACGCACACAGGAACAGAGGCAGGCTTAGCACACAATCATGGCGGTTTTTCTTTCTCTCTCTCTCTCCCACTCGCTCTCTCTGGCAGGAGCTGGGAAAAAATCTGTACCGCAAAAATTTTACAATGATGAAAAAACCGAAATGCGAGGTGAAAAACCCAAAAATATGTATTTCTGAAATATGTTTTGGGTCTGTAGATTTTCCCGGAAAATTGTCTGATGGATAGTTACCTCGTACTTGAGCCCGACCAGACGAAGCCAGGTCTCTACTTTCAAGCAGTAGGGCGACAGCGAGGGCAGCAATGGAGTCCTGGAGAACTGGTACAGATAAATGATATCCTTCTCGAAGTTGGTCTTGTGCACATTGAACTTTTGTGCGGGAGGGGCCTCCGACTTGGCCGGCGCGGCGACAGCCGTTGCCTCCCCATCCTTCTTGGCCTCCCCGTCGACGGCACCATCAGCATTTTCCTTGGACGCCTTGCCGTCCTCTTTGTTTCCTTGGGCGTTTTCGTTTTCGGCCGGAGGAGCAGCAGCAGCGGGCGCGGCAGCAGCGGTCTCGCTGGCAGCAGGTTTTTCCGTCTGCTCGGAGGCTGGATTCTCTGTGGGCGCCGCAACGGCAGGCGTTTCCTCAGCGGGTATTTGGGCTACTTCGGTGGCCATTTCGTTTTCGCTTTTTCTTATTTTTGCTCGTTCAGCCAACACTTTTCCTTGCTCAAAACGCACAGGAACACTTATACACACGGCGCGACACCACTATAAAGCGGGGCGGGGGATTGAAAAAATGCACCACAAGACACACGGTACGGTTAATAGTTGATACAGGATCTCTGTTCAGTCGGAATTTAAACCAGACGGCCGCAACCCAACCGCGTAGTTCAAAAAATTGAGTTGATTTGAATGTACGCAAAAGATTGAGATTATTTGAATGCAATGTCAGTGTGACCGCGGAATTATCGAAAAAATATACCGCCTGATCCGCAGAAATATACCGAAATATACCATCTTATTTTCGAAAAATACCGTAAATATACCGAGGAAGAAAACGAACTTAGCCCACTTAGCCCCGCTCTATTGAAACAAGTGAACATTTTGAGTTAAACCGCGGAAAATAATACTGTTTGTATTCCCTGCTATTAATGCTCCTTCCCCTTTAATTACGAAACAGAAATGAGCATGATTAATATTCACCTGAAACGCGTAAAAAATGTTTCAAGTTTCATAAATTTCGTGGGAATATTAAATGCACCCCTGGGCGAAAATGGGTTAACTTTCTCAGTCTATGATCGGAAATCATATTCCCCGAATTTTATATTCGATTAAATATTACTAGCAAGCTGTTACTTCCAACACTGCACATATAATTTTATCCGATTGATGAATAAATTTCCTACAAGAATGGCTTAATTTAAGGACTTCCTTTTATAGGATTGTTGATAAAATAGTGTTTAATCAAAACAAGTAAATGAATCGGTTTCAACTATGAGTATGGACATTTTCTTACCCTATTTGCTTTACCTAATGATAAATTTTTGTTTTTCTAATCTGTTTTATGCACTAATATTGAAATTTTCATATTCATGCATATGATTTTTTTTATATATGATATATCCCGTTTCCGATACCTATTATTTGTACCCGTGACCTGCAAAATTTAGTAATTACTTTATAACAGAGACTGAGTAGTTTTTGCATTAGTTGGAGCCTGATATTACAAGCAATATCTCAAGTCCATAATATCCATTTTCCCAAGGTATGCAGATTGTTGCTCATTCCGTGCCAAAGTTGCACAACAATGCTGCTACTTCATTTCCCCATGTTGCTGAAATTTTTCCCATACAAATCAAATGTATCTTACGGGAACGCGTATGGAATGACGCAACAATGAATCTTCATTCCATACGCGTTCCCGTAAGATACTTGTTTCTCACACCACGAAAAGTCACCACGAAAACGCTCTCTTCACCTCTGAAAAGAGAGCAAAATTTGAAAAGCCACCACGATTAGAGAGCGAAAAATGTCGGTATTTTTTGTGCGCTAAATGTAGTTTGGCGGTCATTTTGAAAATGGTATTTTAATGGAAATGAGGATGTTTTACATGGTAACTACACGCCAACTACACATTTGCTAAATATTACCTACATATTTATGTACATTTCGACAGAATAAATCATATTCCGCGATTTTGATATTCAGTTTAATATTACTAGCTAGTTAGCCCTCTCAGCCATAACAAAATTATTTTATCCGATAGATACATAAATTTTCTACAAGATTGTCAAGTTTTCAGAAGTCCTTTTTATTGCATTATTTACATATTAAGGTTCAAACAAAAACGGCCAAAGCATAAAACGTAAATGTTGACTAAATGTGACGTCACATGTTGCTGGTCAACTAAGTTTCTTTTATGCGTATGGATTTTTGTATACCTTATTTCCTTTAATTGATGTTAAATTTAATGTTCCAAGCTCCATTGAAACATTAATATTGCATTTTATCCTAGATTGACATATTTTTTTACCTATAAATGCACATGCACATGTTTGTGTTTTATATATGTACATTTGCCCGGTTCTGATACCTATTATTGGAACCCGTGAGCTGCAAAATTTCGTTAATATCTTTAAAACAGAGACTGAGTAGTTTTTGCATTAGTTGGAGCCTGATATTACAAGCAATATTCTCAAGTCCATAATATCCATTTTCCCAAGGTATGCAGATTGTTGCTCATTCCGTGCCAAAGTTGCACAACAATGCTGCTACTTCATTTCCCCATGTTGCTGAAATTTTTCCCATACAATTAAAATGTATCTTACGGGAACCGTCGCAACAATGAATCTACGCTCCGACGCGTTCCAGTTAGGAACTTGCGGCACACACCTCGAAAAAGAGAGCAAATTTTGAAAACTCTCCACGAATTGAGAGCGAAAAATGTCAGTATTTTTGGTGCGCTAAATGGAGTTTGGCGCTCATTTGAAAAGTATCTTAATGTATTGAAAAATAAATATTTGACTTTATTTTTTTTGTCGCAACAATGAATCTACATTCCAAATAATTTTTAAATTTCCACGTTAATAATGTTTATCAGACGCGAGGGGTAAAACCCTCTGCTATTCGATAATGTCGGTATTTTTTATGCGCTAAATGGAATATGGTGGTTCCTCAATTATGGCGAGCATGGTATAACATTATGGGGTAGGGATGATTAATTTCCGAGAGATTTGATGAAAGACTATTTCCTAATTAAATCTGTGTTTCGGCAGCACTTATTTTTTCAAAATAAACATTATCCGGATTGTATATATATTGGGAGTTAAAAAATTGGAATCTCATGCACTTGGGCTAGCTTTGGTCGTTATGCAACACTCGTGCACGAGACTTCACAATTTTCACAAACAAAGATTTGTTTTATTTCATTAGAACGCAATTAAACGAAAGTAACTAAATCTCTGGACTAATGGGAGCTGTTTTGGGCCTCTGTTCGGCCGCCCAGGTAAGTTAATTAGCCAACCGATTAGCCGCGTAACCAGCGAGAATGCCAGACAAACAACAGCAGGTTTTGGCAACAAATCAATAAGCTGCGCCATATGTTCAAATGAAAATTTCACGGCAGACTTTTCTTATGTAAATTAACCGATTTATTTGGGTATTTACAGTGCGCCCTCTGCTGCGGCGGCACTGCGGCCAGCATGTGCTGCTCGGCCTGTCCCAGCTGCACCAATGCATCCTCGTCGCGCTTCATGTACGCCTTCATCCTGCTGGTGGGCACTGTCCTGGGGGCCATTGCCCTGTCGCCGGGGCTGCAGGACACTCTGAAGAAACTACCCTTTTGCATCAACTCAACGTCCACGTATAGCTCCAAGGCCATTGATACCTTCTCGGGTGGTTCCCTGCAGGTGGACTGCGAATATGCGCTGGGCTACATGGCCGTCTATAGGGTCTGTTTCGGGATGGCCTGCTTCTTTGCGTTAATGGCTTTGATTATGCTGGGTGTGAAGAGCTCCCGGGATCCGCGCGCGCACATACAGAACAACTTTTGGCCCCTGAAGTTCCTGATTTGCTTTGGTGCCGCCATTGGAGCCATCTTCATACCGGACGGATCCTTTGGGCCGGCCATGATGTGGGTGGGCCTCATAGGCGGCCTGGCATTCATACTCGTCCAGCTTGTCATCATTGTCGATTTCGCACACAGCCTGGCAGAGTCTTGGATCGGTGAGTCATTCACTCTGCTCGAGCGCCATGATCCATGATCCATGATTCATCTCTGGGGAATATCTCATTTCAGAGGGCGCCGAAAACAGTCGCGGCTACTACTACGCCCTGGCTGGGGTCACTCTCCTGGGCTATATCTTATCGCTGACGGGCATTACTCTGCTGTATATCTACTTTACCACTGTAAGGGGGGAGCATGGGGAACGGAACGAAGGCGTTTCCTTATCTATCCATTTGCATGCTGATTTGCGGCTTTATTTTTGCAGTCCACTGGCTGCGGCATCAACAAGTTCTTCATATCGATAAATCTGATCTTCTGCCTGGTCATCAGCGTCATCTCCGTACTGCCGGCTGTGCAGGAGCGTCTTCCACACTCGGGCCTGCTACAGAGCTCCCTCGTGACCCTGTACACGGTGTACCTGACCTGGTCCGCTGTGGCCAACAATCCCGAGAAGGCTTGCAATCCGGGCATGTTTGGCCTGATGGAGGGATTCGGAAATGGCACCACCACCACGATTGCGCCACCCATTGCCTCGCACAACTCCAAGGTGACCTTCGATACGACCAACATCATTGGCCTGGTCGTCTGGCTGCTCTGCATTCTGTACAACTGCATCAGCTCGGCCGTGGAGGTGTCCAAGATCACCCAAGACAACAGCGAGAAGCGTGGTATGTTGACTAACCCTCACTCTCTCCCTCTCCCATGCCCATGTCCATGCCCATGCATTCCACAGTTTCCATCACGCATTCAGATTCATTTCGTTCTCCCTTTTCATTTCCAACGCTGTAGAATAATGCTAATTCCGATTATTAACACTCGTTTTGCTTACCCTTTCGACACCCTTTATTTTTATTTGTACTTACTTTTTCGGACTAACCAACTAACAAACTTTTGGGTTACTGGAAACTGTGTGAAATCAAATCTGTTGTTTGCCCTCCACTTGGCCCTCTGATTAATGTAGTTTTAACAGAAGCTCTATCAGACACAGAGGCGGCGGGCACTGACGCCGATGGCAAGCCGAACACCGACAACGAGGTGGAGGGCGTCACCTACTCCTGGTCCATGTTCCACATTGTCTTTGTCTGCGCCTCCCTCTACGTGATGATGACCCTCACCAATTGGTACAAGTGAGTTATCTATCGCAGCATCCATTCATGCACCATAAATTTACTTCAATATATATTTAATCTGTTGCAGACCCAACTCGGATATTGAACTCTTCAATGGCAATGAGGCTTCCATGTGGGTCAAGATCATCTCCAGCTGGCTGGGCGTCTTCATCTACGGCTGGAGTCTGGCCGCACCCATAATTCTCTCCAATCGCGACTTCAGTTAAACAGTTTTAGTATTACTATCTATCTACCTTATAATTATTATATAGATATCTAGCTAGGAGTGGTGCTTAACGAGCAAAGCGAGTAACAGATGAACGGGGGAAAGAGGAGTCGTACGTCCAGTGCACTGGACAAGGACAAAGGAGATTAATATCTTGCATTATTTTGACTCTTAGTGTGCTGTTTACTCATTCAACTTATTCTCCAACTTGCAGAGTTATCCATAGAAATATACATACATACAGCTATGCGGATAATCGACATACAAATATATATCTATAACATAACTGTAGCGTCGTCAAACGGTTTGCCTTCGATTTAATTCCGTTTTGGGCAGTGCCTCTTGCAAGCGTTCGAGGGCCACTGGCTTGCCCAGAATCTCCATCATTTCGGCCACGCCAGGACCCTCCTTGAGGCCACTGAGTGCTGCTCGCAGCGTCTTCATCATCAGGGGGAACTTGAGGCGCTCCGTTTGGGCAAACTTTTTCAGTTTTACATTCAGCTCATCCTTGTGGAAGCTGTCCAGAGAGTGCAGGTCTGCTAGCAGGCTGCTTAGCTGCTCAGCCGTCAGATCTTTCAGCTCAAAGTTGGATGGTTTCACCCAGAGGAAGCTCAGCTTGCTGCTGGTCAGATCCTGGAGCAGTGTCAAACGCTGCGAGGACCAGTTCAAGACATCCACAATGTGGGCCTGCGCCAGATCCAAGTTTGGGCTGCAACGAAATTCGAGTTTAGATCTTTTCGAGGAGGCCATCACTACACCTACTGTTCTGGGTAGGCCTGCTTGATCAGCCCCTGCACTCGCTTGACCAGCTCCAAGCGGGTTTCCGGCTCTCCCAGACGTTGGCCAATCTCCAAGCGATTCAGATCATCCAGAAGTTCGGGGCTCAAGCGACTCGGATGGGCATTCACGCGCTCCATTTCGAACTGCTGGCAGAGTTCCCGCAGGCTGAGGAGCTGCTGCTTCGCATGGGCTGTGTGCTGGAAGCCTCCGCCCGCAGAGACCACATAGTTGACCAGAGAGAGGGGGAAGTAGCCGCGCTCCCGGAAATGCTGTATGCCAATGTCGCCCTGGCGTTTGCTCAGCTTCGTCCCATCGGCATTGACCAGGAGCGGCAGGTGACCAAACTTTGGCGGCTGCCAGCCAAAAGCTCTACGGGATCAGCCAACCATTAGCAGGGAAAGCGAATTCAGAGAAGGACAAGTCTCACTTGTAGAGCAGCAAATGCTTTGTGGTGGAAATCTGCCACTCGACTCCTCGCAAAACGTGGGTGATGCCCATCAGGTGGTCGTCCACCACATTGGCAAAGTGATAGGTGGGAAAGTGGTCGCTTTTGATGACCACCGGATCGCCCTCGTTGTCGCTGACATTGTGCTGGACACTGCCGTAGACGAGATCCTCGAGGGGCTCCTCGTGCTCCGTCAGCTTGAAGCGTATGCAGTGGGGTGCGCCCTGGGCCAGGAGGCTCTCCACCTCCGCTGCAGACAGGTGGCGGCATTTGTTGTCGTAGCGCGGCACCTGACGAGTGCGCAGCGCCTCCTTACGCAACAGCTCCAGACGGCGTTCCGTGCAGAAGCAGCGATAGGCGGTGCCATGCTGCAGCAGCTCCTTGATGGCCTTACTGGGAACGAAGTACAGTGTCAGGGTGATTCAATGGATTGGGGTACACTCACCTGTAAATCTCAGTTCTTTGGCTTTGAACATAGGGTCCATGGTGGCCTCCAAAGCCGGGTCCCTCGTCGATTTCTATGCCCGCCCAGAGCAGATCCTCCACCAGGCGCTCACTGGCTCCAGGCACCAGTCTCGTTTGATCCGTGTCCTCGATCCTGAGCAGGAATTTTCCGCCCAAATGGCGAGCATAAAGGAAATTGTATAGAGCCGTGCGCAGGCCGCCCAAATGCAGCTGCCCCGTGGGGCTGGGGGCAAAGCGAACGCGCACCTGGCTGTGGGCATAGCGTTGTGTCAGCCAGAGGCACTGCCTCAACAATGTGCGCGGGTGTATTTTCAGCATTTCCTAAGAGAAAAACTCAAAAGAAAATTCCTCTTCCCGGTTTGTTTACGTCGAACAGCTGTTGCAGCATTTACATGGATAAATGTTAACAGTGAGTTAACATACCGAATTTTATACTAAGTTGGCAGCGCCATCAGCTTTTACGCTGCCAGATCGGTTAAAAGCGAATCGGTAATGAAACGGGTCTGTTAAAAAATAACTATCAACTGTTTAACAGCGAGTTAGCATTTCCGACTTGTAAGCTAGGTTGGCAGCGCCATCAGCTGTTAACCACGCATGCAATTGCTCGCCCTCTTCCTCTTTCCCCCGCAACAATTTCGTGATTCCAACGCGAAAATCAAAAGATTTCCACAAAAATGGTCGAACTAACGCCCGAGGAGAAGAAGACGCTGATCACGCGCAACCTGCAGGAGACGCTCGGCGAGGACAAGCTGAACAAGGTGCTGAAGGAGCGCGACCTGAAGATCTACTGGGGCACGGCGACGACGGGAAAGCCACATGTCGCCTACTTTGTGCCCATGTCGAAGATTGCTGATTTCCTGAAGGCCGGCTGCGAGGTGACCATCCTGTTTGCGGATCTGCATGCCTATCTGGACAACATGAAGGCGCCGTGGTCGCTGCTGGAGCTGCGCACCCAGTACTACGAGCAGGTGATCAAGGCCATGCTGAGCTCCATCGGAGTGCCGCTGGAGAAGCTGAAGTTCGTCAAGGGCAGCGACTACCAGCTGTCCAAAGAGTATACTCTGGACGTGTACAAGCTATCGTCGGTGGTGACGCAGCACGATGCCAGGAAGGCGGGCGCAGAGGTCGTTAAGCAGGTGGAATATCCGCTGCTCTCGGGTCTGCTCTACCCAGGACTGCAGGCACTGGACGAGGAGTACCTCAAGGTGGACGCACAGTTCGGTGGCGTCGATCAGCGCAAGATCTTCACCTTCTCCGAGAAGTATCTGCCCCAATTGGGCTACGAGAAGCGCATCCATTTCATGAATCCCATGGGTGAGTCATCGTCATCCCATCGCCACCAATCCGTGGACTTCATTTCATAATGCTCTTCCTCTGACAGTTCCTGGCCTCGCTGGCGGCAAAATGTCTTCTTCCGAGGAGGACTCCAAAATCGATCTTTTGGACTCGCCCGCCAACGTGAAGAAGAAGCTGAAGAAGGCATTCTGTGAGCCCGGCAACATCGCCGACAATGGCCTCCTCTCGTTCGTGAAGCACGTGCTCTTCTCCCTCTTCAAGGAGGGCGAGGGCTTCGAGGTGTGCCGCGAGGCGGAGCATGGAGGCAACGTCACCTTCCTGAAGTACGAGGATCTGGAGAAATACTATGCCGAGGACAAACTGCATCCCGGAGACCTGAAGGCCACCGTCGAGAAGTACATCAATCGGCTGCTGGATCCCATTCGGAAGATCTTTGAGACGCCAGCGCTGCAGTAAGTGAAACATTCCATTCCACATCCCTGTAGCTAAAGCCGCTAATCCGCTGGCCTTTCGTGCAGAAAACTCAGTGCCGCTGCCTATCCGCCACCGGCCAAGGTCAAGGCTGCAGCAGCTCCGGCTGCGGGCGCTGATGAGGATGCGCCCCATCGTCTGGACATTCGCGTGGGCAAGGTCATCGAGGTGGCCCGTCACCCGGATGCGGATACGCTCTATGTCCTAAAGATCGATCTGGCTGAGGCGCAGCCCAGGACCATCATCAGTGGCCTGGTCAAGTTTGTCACCGAACAGGAGCTGGACCAGCGCCTGGTGGCGGTGCTGTGCAACCTGAAGCCCTCCAAGATGCGCGGCATACTCTCCGAGGGCATGGTTCTGTGCACCTCCAAGTGAGTAGCCTACAAGCAGCCCCGCTGCTTGCCTCTGTTGCAGATCCCTCATGGCAAATCTCTTCCAGCGCTGATCACACGGTTGTGGAGCCCATTGTGGTGCCTGAGAAGGCTGCTGCCGGCAGTCGGCTGGCCTTCGAGGGCTACAGCGGCACGCCCGATGAGCAGCTCAACCCCAAGAAGAAGGTGTGGGAGAAGCTGTCCGTGGATTTGAAGACCAACGGCGACGGCCTGGCCGTGTGGAAGGACAACTTCCTGCTGACGCCCGAGGGCGAGAAGCTCTCCAGCAAACTGGCCAACTGCGCCATTAAGTAGCGTCCCAAATGCCACACTACCTGAGCCGTGTAATACTTACAACTAAGCCGAATGTTTCACACAAAACCAGCTTTTAATTTATTAATTCCCATTAAAGCAATTTGCATTTTTTAAATAAAGCGCCCAAAAGTCATGTAAAAGCTGCCAACCTGTTGCTAACAGTGCTTCTTTGCGTGGTATTTTTACACTTGCTCCAGCTGGTCACACCAATTGCGAATTGCGCCGCGTGCAAGATTTGTTTACAAAAAAAAATGCAATTGGTCTAACTTGTGAAATTCTTAGTTGATTAGTTAATTCGTTTGCGCTTAGCACAATTGGACAGGATGCCCGTGGTGGAGGGCAATGATCTGGCGCTGCTGCAGCGTCGCCAGCAACAGGTGCGCAACATTTGCATCCTGGCGCATGTGGACCACGGCAAAACGACTTTGGCGGACTCTTTGGTGGCCAGCAATGGCATCATTTCGCAGCGCATGGCGGGAAAACTGCGCTATCTGGACAACCGGCAGGACGAGCAGGAGCGCGGCATCACCATGAAGAGCAGCAGCATTTCGCTGTACTACAAGGACCATGGAAATCGGCAGGAAAACGATTTCCTCGTCAATCTGATTGATTCGCCCGGCCATGTGGACTTCTCCAGCGAGGTGTCCACCGCGGTGCGACTCTGTGACGGCGCCATTGTCGTGGTGGATGTGGTCGAGGGCGTGGGGGCGCAGACACGCGCCTGCCTCAAGCAGATCTACGAGGAGCAGCTGAAGCCGGTGCTGGTGCTCAACAAGTTGGATCGCCTGATACTGGAGAAGCAGATGGAGCCCCTGGATGCGTACTTCCACTTGACGCAGGTGCTGGAGCAGGTAAACGCTGTGCTGGGCAGCATTTTCGCCTCCGATGTGCTCGCCAGGGAGGACATCACGCAGAAGGCCAATCAGGAGTCTGCGCTGGAGGAAGTCGACGACTCGGAGCTGTATTTCTCGCCGAGCTCCGGCAATGTGGTATTCTCCTCGGCCTACGATGGCTGGGCCTTCTCCGTGCGCGACTTTGCGGCCATGTACGACAAACGTTTGGAGATGAAACGCGAGGAACTGGAGCAGGTGCTCTGGGGCGACTTTTACTACAATTCGAAGAAAAAATGCGCCATGCCGGGTGCCCAGGAGAAGGCCAAGAAGCCCATGTTCGTGCAGTTTGTGCTGGAGAATATCTGGAGCATGTACGACATCATAGCCGTGCGCAAGGACAAGGACAAGCTGCCGGGCATAGCCGAGAAACTCGGCCTGAAGCTGGCCGCCCGCGATCTGCGCCTCACCGATCCCAAGCTGCAGATCAAGGCCGTGCTGGGACAGTGGCTGCCCATCGACAACAGCGTCCTGCACATGGTCGTGCAGCATGTGCCACCGCCCCATCAGATGAGCGAGGAGCGGGCCCAGAGACTGCTCTACCCGGCGAATATCCAGCTAAGTTCGATGCCACTCGAGACGCTGAAGCTCAAGGACAGCTTCATCACCTGCGATGCAGAAAGCGAGAATGTCATCGCCTTTGTGTCCAAGATGACGCCCGTGCACGTCTCCCAGCTGCCACAGAATCGACCCAAGCGGATGACGGACCAGGAACTGCAGACGCGCAGGGAGGAGGTGCGTCGGCGGATCGAGGAACGCAAGCAGCAGAGCGAGCAGACGGAGCTGGAGAGGATTACTGAGGGTGTGGAGCAGCTCAGCGCCAAGGCGGAGGAGGCCCCAACAGAGCCACAGCCAGAGGCAGAGGCAGAACGGAACGAATTCGTTTTCGTTGCCTTTGCCCGCGTCTTCAGTGGCACTTTGAGGCGTGGCATGGAGCTGTTCAATCTCTCGCCCAAGCACGATCCCCGCCAGCCGGCCCATCGCATCGAGGGGGAGGCGCCCCACGCCTCCCGTGTGACCATCGGGGACCTCTACATGTTCATGGGCGGGGAGCTGCAGCTGCTGGACGAGGTGCCCGCCGGTAACATTGTGGGCATCGGTGGCCTGGAGGCGCACATTGTCAAGACGGCCACCCTGAGCAGCACCCTGGACTGCACCTCCTTCAGCGAGCTGAGCATCATGGCCACGCCCATACTGCGAGTGGCCATTGAGCCCGTGCAGCCGCAGGACATGCCCAAGCTGGTCAAGGGACTGAAGCTGCTCAACCAAGCGGATGCCTGTGTCCAGGTGTCGGTGGCGCCCACGGGGGAGCACGTAATAACGACCCTCGGCGAGGTGCATGTGGAGAAGTGCGTCCACGATCTGGAGCAGAGCTATGCCAAGGTCAAGGTGAACGTGTCCAAGCCCATAGTTTCCTTCAGGGAGACCATTGTGCCCGCGGCCACCGTGGACATGGTCAACGAGGCCATTGTAAAGACGGCCGACGACAAGGATGTGAGCAAGAAGATTGCCCTCCAACAGACGCTAAATAAACGGGGAACACTGAGGGTTATAGCGCTGCCACTGCCCCCCGAGGCAGTCGACTTGCTGGAGAAGCACACGGATTTCTTCAAGGTGCGTGGGCAAGCCAAGGGAAAACTTTACCCTTTACTGAAGAACACTCTTTTTTGACCCAACAGGAACTGTCTGCCACTCCGCGGAATCAACTTCTCTCCCAGAAGTACGCCACTCTGTTGGCCTCCATCAAACTCAAACTGATTGCCGCTCTACAGGAGCTGCCTCTGTTCGGCCTGAGTTCCCACTCGCCCGAGGAGTTGGTCAATCGCCTCTGGGCGCTGGGTCCCCGCAATTGCGGCACCAATCTGCTGCTCAACTTCACCGACTACGAGCAGCCCGATTTCTGGTCCAGCCAAGCAAAGACCTCCGACACGGAAATACGCTCGCTGTCCGATCCACGCAAGGATTTCAATAGCTCCCTGGTCAATGGCTTCCAGCTGACCTCCGGCGCGGGTCCGCTGTGCGAGGAGCCCATGCAGGGCGTCTGTTTTGCTGTCCTCGAATGGTCCATTCAATCGGAGGGCGAGGATCTGAATGCCAGAGGACCCTTTTCGGGTAAGTCTTTGCAGTCTGTGTCTGTTTTTGGTAAGGAATTCTTTTTAATTTGCTGCTTTGTTTGATTTGCAGGTCAAGTTCTGACTGCGGCCAAGGAGGTGTGTCGTCAGGCTTTCCAGAATCAGCCGCAACGTCTGGTTACGCCCATGTACAGCTGTACGATTGTCGTCAATGCGGAAATGTTGGGTGAGTGATAATTTGGATAAGTAATTTAAGGCCCATAGCTCACAAATGGTGTGAATATTCCAAAAAATAGATTTTTAATTTGATTTATCTGTTTTTTTTTTTTTTTACTTGTTTCTGCATTTGGCAGAGATTTCAAAAGGTAATAACTCAGGAGGTTTATGATTTAGTAGATTTATTTAAAGAGATGTAAGAGAGATCAAAAACTGTGTTTTTTATGAAGATTTAGGAGTGGTTTAGACGCGTGTCTCATAATTAATTTTTACTGGAGAAGCATCAAGAGTTTTATAAATTGTTGGGACTTTATATAAGTATGGTATTGTTACTCCTTTAAAACTCTTCAACTCTGCAGAATTACTGCAATTATGAGTGCTGGAAAAAACATTTATTTTGGGGATAATCTCGAATGCCATTGTTCCTTTCATGATTTGTATGGTTTCCCCTCCTTATTTTCCCACCACATTTTCGTGTTCTCCCGATTGATGTTACTTTTAAAATAGTTTTTTGTTTATTTAACTACTAGTAAATGCAGCTTAGATCTAGACATAAATAAGCAACTAAATTTAGTGTTCCATAATTTCGGTTTTTCCTTCAGTTTCTTCTGTTCTGTTTTTTTTTTGTTGTTGTTTGCTTTTTTGTTATGATTCCATTTTTCGAATAGTTTCAAGTTGTTGCACCTTAACTATCTCTGCTCACTTGTCGCTTCGTTTCTTCGCTAGCTCGTTTCGTTAATTATTTAAATATTATAAAAAGTTGAGGCCTTGTTTACGCTTAAATGCAAAACAAATTAATTAAACAATTAGTGGGCGACGCGGGCGGACCCGGACACATGTAATTGTTTAATTAATTCGTAAATTGTTCTTTTGTGTATAAATATAAATAAATATATAAATTAGAGAAGGGCTCATCAGGGGAGCATCAGGGAGATGCATATGGGGATGCGGGTGGAGCGGTAGCTGGAGTTGCTGCAGCGGGAGTGGGAGGGAAATGCCATTTGAAATGCCTAAAAAGTTTGTATAAAAAAGCTTATCCAATAATTTACGGTTACGGTTACGTTACGTTGGGTTACGTGACGTTACGTAGTCTCTCTTCTTCCATTGCCGTTGCCGTTTCCGCTTCTGGTTCCATTCCGTTTCGTTCCCCTTCTCTCATCCTCTCTGTCTCTCTCGCTCACTTCAGTCACAGTAGTTTTGTTGCACAATGACGCAAAGAGGCGTGCCCTGTGCTATAAGAAATTGTATCTACTAGGAATTAGGCTGTGGTGCATCCTAGTCCCAGACAATGCTCTGCTGGAACTCCACGACACGATCCCAGGGGAACTCCGGCTCCAGTTCGTGGTCCATCGTCTCCGCCAGTGAGCGCCTGATGCGAGTGCTGCCTTCCAGAGCCGGCTCTGGGAGCGTTGTCACGGGCGACGCCGCCGCTGGCTCTGATTCCTGCTGCTGCTGCGCCTGAAGTGTGGTCCTTGCCTCCTCGTTGGCCGGCGTACTGCTCTCATACTCCTCGATGCCGGTCGTTATGGTGTCAAGGTCGATTGCCTCAATGGACGTCTTGTCGCCGCGTCGCTCGTTGTTCCGCCCGTAGTTGCTGCCCGGGAAATTGTTGATGGAGAACTGATCGGGCCGGAAGTTGGCCGAGGAGGAGCTGTGGCTGCTGTGGGTGCTCTCGGGACGATTCAGATACTGATACGAGCTGCTGGGGCCTCCGTTCTGGAAGGACTGCTGGTCCTGCGGCTGATAGTTGGAGCTGATGGGTGATCCACCGAGATTGGATGAGCTGCTGGAGGAGCTGCTGCTGCCCCCGTAGATGGGTCTGCCGTAGCTGTCCTTCTGCCCGCCAATGGAGCTGCTGGAACCGCCCACAGAGGGACGATAGAAGGGCTTCTGCAGCTGGTAGCGTTTCGGGGGCTGGCTGCTGGGCTTGCGGACAGAGTAGCCGGGCTTGACGCACATCATACCAAAGACTCGGATGCCGGGCACACTCGCATATGTGGGCTGATCATGGGCCATGGGACCCTCTAACGAAGGGCACGTGGATTAGGATATGTTTTCTGACTTACTTGTCGGTTATATATATTTACCCATTTTGAAGTGATCGGGACAGCGACAGATGACCAGGTAATGGGACTTGCCAGTCCGTGTGTTTTGGAGTGCCAGCAGGGACCAGTCCTTGGGCGAGCGGCACTCTCGCATCTCCGTGGTGGCCTCACAGGTCTTGGCCAGCGTGATGGCCTAATCATGCAAAAGAAAAGGCCAGTGAATGAGCGGAGGATGCTAATTTAAGGGGCGTATCTGCTGTCTAGACGGTGTCTACTAATAGCAGCAACGATTAGACATTCACTTTGGACCCACCGGCCCACAGGCCCACAGGGCGATCGGGCAAAGAAAGTAACCCGATCTCATGATCATGACTCTAAATTGAAAGCCAACATGCTAAACGTCTGCCTCTCTGCCTGACTGCCTCTCTGCCTGTCTCTAGCTGTCGCTTTAGACCCAAAAAACAGGAGCAGCCAAAGGCCCAGGGCTCCTCCCTCCAGACTGCAGTCCCCAGTCGAAAGGAGAAACATTTAGCCAGACAGAAATTGCTTTTGCTCCGCTTTCGATTGGCCGATGCTTGATTGTCCTTTAACTGATTTACAGCCTCAACTACTGGCGGCGGGGCTACTGGTGTGGCAGCAGTCAGTTCCTGCCCCAGAGTGGCAGAGTGCCAAAGTGCCAGAGTGGAGTAATTTGATTGACTCTTGCGGCGCTCGTTTGCATGTGGCAGCAACAGCAACGGCAACGGCAGCCAATTCAGGAAAAGTTTTTTTTTTTCTTTTTTTTTTTTTTCTACTTTTCCGTTTCATAGCTCTCCGCTTCATTGGCTCTCAATGTGGCATTCAGGTTAATGCTGTTGCTGCCTGTTCCAGTTTTTCCTCTGCCACTGCTCTTGTTTTCCAGCTAAACGCATTTTCATAATTTGTTGTACAGTTCCGGCAAAACAGCAACAGCCACAAACACACACACACAACAACAAGTGTTGCATTTAACGGTAAAGTGAAGTGTAATTATGACAATGTCTGGCACTGCCCACACGCCTCTGAAACTCTGAGACTCTGAGAGACACCTTCCGCCTCCTCCTCTACCCCTAAGAGGGAACAGTGCAGACACAGTGGACACCTGTGTGCAGCACAGCACTCAACTACTTGCCCATTAAACTATTAAAAATGCTTTTTATTATTTAATTTATTTGAACATTTCTCCCATGCCTGTGGACTAGAGCGAGAGAGGTGCGGCGGCATTTATAACTTAATTAAATGCACACACAGCTATGTGGAGTCAGTGGAGTCTGCCCCACTCATGGAGCAGTCCAACGATGAGAGAACAGATCATGGCCAGGCAATAAAAGTGCCCCAATCATGGGCTCCCCAGCAGCAGAAGCAGCAGAAGCGGGGGAGCATTATTGGCCAAATAATATTGTAAACCGCAAACGAAGCAGCCAGCCACAGCCACAAGGTGAGCCTCCCACTGACCCTGGCCAACAGATCGTGCCACAGCACAGAGTGAGATTTCTCTCTTCCTCTCTCTCCGTCTCCCTCTATCTACCTATCTATCTATCTCTCGTCAAGTGAGAGTCGTAACCGCAGACGCAGAAATCAATTTTATGAGTGATCAGTGGATCAGAGTGATCCACCAAATGATCCACCTCAATCATCCTTTGTTAGACGATCTTCGCGGGTTCCCACTGATCTTTTCCAGCCATTAATCTGGCAATTGTTGAGGTTTTTCCCCTGAACTACTGATCTATTAAATGATCCTCAAGCTTTGAATGAATACGAATACGCAGTGAACTTCTGTGAGATCTGCAATTGATTTCCCTATTTTCTAGGCCACTGATCCATCAAATGATCCTCAATCCCATGAATTTGTTGGCTTTCTTCTTCTCCAATTGATTTTTTTTTTTGGTTGCAGGTTTTCCCTCTACAAATGATCCTCAATTCGCACAGATTTGCAGCTCTCTGGATCGTGCTGCTTCTCAGAATGGACTGTGATCTCCACCCAGTGGATGGATGTACTCTCTCTGCTATAATTTCCTTCCACTCTTGGATGCATACTCGCCTATGAGTATAATTTCGCTCCTTCCACTGATCGCATCTTCTATTGATTCATTTAAAAAGCAATGAAATATTATTTGTGGTCAGCCCCCATCGATGGCTGTTTCCTGCAGTCGTGAACTGGCATCGCAATCTAATGAACTTCTTCTATAAATCTCAACAATTTCCCAGTTTTCCCAGTGATTCCCAAGCAATTATCTAAGTAATTCAGATGCCAGCTGCCAGACGAGGCAGTTCCTCTGCCACTGTGGGGATGTTCTTACCTTCTTTTTATTATCACCAACCAATTTTGTGGTATGCTGATCATCTTCATTCAGACTGGCGGAGCAGGGATCACGATATCTGCAAGGGAACACATCGGATTAGATTAGATTCCTCATCCTGGGATTAATTAGAAGTTTGCCGAGTGACAAGTGGGCGAACCCTAATCCTTCAGCTGGTGGAGTGGACTCACCTTGATGGACAGGCACACAGGGGCTGGGTGTAGTTGAGTCGCACGTAGACGGCGTTGCAGACCTGCTGGATGGCGCACTCGGGCAGCAGATAGATGTGTTGATTGTGCGGATAATAATGATATTTCGTTGGTTTCGCTGTCGCCGTTTTCTGCAAATGAATGCAAGGGAGAGACTTAGATGTGATTGATGTTGATTGATGTGGCCAAAAGGGTTTCATCGTCTTCTATTTGGCCAGCAATTAAAGTGGCAACCAAGTAACGTACGTTTGCCATTTGTCTGTGGCATAGATGAAGTGCGAAGTGGAAGCTCTCCTCCCCATTGGGGGGAGTAGTCTCCTTTTCTTTTATTTTTTTGTATTTTTATTTTTAATAACCAACCCAGGAGGGGCCTCCGCTTCTGCTTCTGCTTCAGCGTTTTTCTATGCATCCAAAGTAGTCATCGGTGAGGAGCAGTCAGCAGTCAGCAGTCTCTTTGGCTTGGCCAAAGCAGGTTAATGGCGAACGAGACCCTCACATAATGCCACACAAAATTGCTTGACTCCGCACTTGAGAGATGAGTTGCGCTGTTGCTGTTGCTGCAACGCGCCTTTTCCGCTCTGCCACCATATATATGAGACGTTGATGCCACAACGTCGAAAGGCGGAAGGGGGGGGGGGGGCAGGAGGGGGCGCCCAAGTTATTAAGAAATTGATGCAACACGGAGGGGACTCCAACTATCCATCCATCCATCGCATGGTGCACCATGCACCATGCAGGGTAACCCTGGGTAACTGCCAAACGCACTTTTACTTTGTCGAAAGGGTGGGCGGGAGGTAGGAAGAGCTCTAGTAATTTCCCCAAGCAAACTTAACCCAACCCAACCCATGCCATGTCCCTGTCCCTGTCCTGCCCCATCAGCCACTTCCTTCCTGCATTTGCCAGTATGTTTACCCACTCACATTTTCTCTCTCTCCCCCACACCCCATTGAGTTGTTTTTCATTTGGAAACTTCTGATGGATTCCCCCGTCCGTTTTGTTTGGCTATTAAAAAGTTTTCAAGTTAAATTTTTAGCTTTGTTTTTGCTTTGGCAACTTTCAGTCGAGCAGGGAGATATTTATGACACAATTGCAGGCACCGCTGTAGCAGAATTCGTTTAATTATTGAGTAATTCATCAATATCATTATTGAGAGCGAACAAAGTCAGAATATGCAGAATATGGATACGTTTATTGTGCATCAATGCGTGAAGATTCTTGGCAAACGAGGAGCACCTTGAAATGGGTCTGAACGAAAGGCATCTTAATGATTGTATTAGTTCGCAAAAAAGCGAGAAAGGAAGCTAAAGATAGATTAACGCAATTATTAGAGCCAAGAGTGAATTTACGGGAGCAACAAATGGTAGGTAAATGCAACGAGATTATAAATACTGATGGGAGTACACTCATTCGTGTGTCTATTGTGGATAGAGATGGTGGGATGTGGTGGTGGTGCAAGCACTTGAGAATGAAACTGATTGCAAAAAGAATTTCAAAGTGAATAGATTTACACAAGAGAAAACAGAGATAAGATCCACAAGAGAGCATAGATCTTCACAAATATAAGTTATATATGGAATATAATTGATAAATCTTTTGATAGTTTCTTTCCGCAAAGATCTTTTGGTCTTTGCCCTTTTCGAGGTCCGTTGCTCTACCTAAGTAAGTCACTCCTTTCCCCCCCACACCGAACACACCACAGCCCGTTCTGCTGCTGCTGATGATTCACCATCAATCTACTCTCTCCTTCTCCCATTTCTCTCACCCACTTGTGCCACCATTACACAGTCCTTTCCCCTGGCGATGGCATTCCTTTCCCCTACTTAGCACATAATTGAACTGAAAGCATCTTTGGTTTAGTGCAAATTACAGGGCACATGATCTACTAGGGGCACGAGGAAAGAGTGGCACGAAAGCGGCAACGGGGGATGGGGGAAATGGAAGCGGATACTTCCCATGTCAGTCATTTGCCAGGCAGCAACAGCAACAGCAACAGCTACAGCTACAGCCACCTACTGCCAGGTAGGTCCAACTTCCACTGCCTCCCACCTCCCACCTCCCACTGCATGCCACTTCTCCTCCTTTTTGCTGTGGCAGCTCCTTTTTGAGAGTGATTTACACTGACCCTCAACCATTATTATTGAATTTTTCCACCATCTGTATGCCCCCTGCTCCGCGGGGCACCAGGCACCCTATTTGGCGTCAGCTGGTTGTCGCTTCTGTCCAAATGTCCAAACTGTCGCCGCCACTTGCCCCCCCCCTGCTGTACTCTTCCCTTGTGGCAGGCAGGCAGGGAAACCCCACTCTCATCGTGGCCTGTCTCTTTCACTTTGGTTAAGTAGATTTTTAAATATTTACCATGTTCGTTGGACAGGGGCCAAAGCAAACGAGAAAGAGAGGCTTTAGCTTTATCGGAAACGAAGCAAAGGATACCCTTGGGAGATTTGTTGTCTCATCTGTGGGTTCATCTTTTCTGTGGCTAGTCATGGAATGTTACAGTTGTCTTTGCACTATTAAAAATATAATTTAGAAGTTCGGAAATGGTTTCTTTCTCATCATAGCACCCTCTGTGAGTATATGTAGGGTATATTCTCTTGGAAGGGGTGTCTTAGGATCGAGGAACCGTAACCCTAAGTAGGGCCCTGAGACTGTGGGCTGGGGGGCTGAGGGGCTACAAAGAATTTTCCACGAATTGCAAATTAAAGCGTTTTGCTGTTGTCCGCTTTGCAGCCCCGCTATAACTGTAGCTGTAGCTGAGGCTGTGGCTGTTCACACAGGTTAAAGTTCAGTCGGTGGCAGTTAGCGCAAGAGAGAAGATCCCCCCAAGCCCCTCTGCCCTGGCCACCCAAGTGCCACTTGAAAATCGTGTTCCCTGCTGCAAGCTTCCTGCAATTTAAAGTCACTTTTGGAGTTGCAGTTGGACTCCAACATCGAGACTCTCGCAGAGTCGCGGAGATGGAGTCGGCGATGAAGTCAAAGTCAGAGTTGGGGCTCTCTTTGGAATCCCATCGCCGCGACCTTTCGCGGTCTCAAGTTGTTTTCTGTTTTCCGTGTTGTTTCTTTTATTTTCTTCTTCTCTTTTTTTATTTTTATTTTTTTTTTTGTAGTTTTTCCCCTGTAGTTTTTGTAGTTTTTTTTTGCTGTTTTGTTTTTGGAGTGCCATGAATTGCGTTTTGATTGAAAAGAAAGTGACATTTCCGTTGATTTTCCTTTTGCTCAGAATGCTCTTTCCCCTATACTCTCTTCCCCCCTTTTCTCTCTCTCTGTTTTAGCTTAAAGTTTTTCCTTTTATGTGGAGCTGCAAGGCTTCTGCTTCAATGCTAATTTTGCATGGCTTTTCGCCCATGGAAATGACGCTGAAAATTTGTGTGTTGTGTGTTTGTATTTATGCCCGAACAACACAACAGAAAGCTGCAAAACAAATAGCAAACTGTGGCAGCAAACAGTGGCACGGCACAGCAGAAAGTGCCTGAAACTTTGTACCATGGCGTATGCGTGATTTGTTTTGTTTGCTGATGTTGCAGCCTTATTGACTTGTTGCAGTGCCTCATTCACAGTCCCACCCCCCCATGATTGCCACTTGATTAGCCCGACACTTGATTAGCTGTCATTCATATTCGGAAAATTTGAGAGCTTAAATGCAACACAAATGTTTGGCATTTTGGAATGAATGGGGTTGGGTTTTGCATTTTTGGCTGCACGTAAAAGTGGCGCATAATTATTAAATTTCCATAGATTAAAGCAGAATTTGGAGTTGTATTTGCAGCTTAAATATTCGAATGAAATATCTTTAATTTGCTGATGAATTTGCAACATTCTAACCCTTCTTCTGCTCCGCCCAATCCCAAAGCCTTCACTATCATTCAATTCCTAAGCCACTTGACTTGTGTGTGTCTTTGGTGCCCCTAACAAGAGTCCTGCAGCCATCAGCCGCAGCGGCAACACTTCTCGGATTTCAAGTCTGTGCGGCGGCAGGCAGCCACAAGTACTGCTGCGACGACTGCGACTATATGTAGTATATATATCCACTTGTAACTCAGTTGCCATTTAGAGGCTTGATTTATGCCGGCAGCTCGAAATTTACTTTTAATGTGAGACAAGCAGCAGCAGCAGCAGCAGTAGGGGAAGCAGCAGCCAGGCAGCCAGCAGCAAAAGTTAAACGCATGTAACTGACAGGCAGGCAGCGGCTGCTATATATCTATATATCTTGCAGATGCGAAACTCCCCGCCACTTGTTATTCAAATCAGCTTGAAAGAGAGCTTCCAGCAGAAGCTGAAGCTGCAACAAAAAACAAAAAAAACTAACATAAAATTTCACCGCTTTGGCTACTTCTCAGGCTCTCAAGAGAGATAGAGAGAGAGAGTATCGTGTTGCTCCTATCTGTAGAAATTTGCATAGTTAAGGCTGACATCCCCTGCCCCTCTCCACCCGTCTGCTATCCCCACCTCCTTTGCAATTAATAAATAATTTTCATTTCATTTTCATTTCGAAATTTGATTTAATTATGTGAAAGTCTTTGAAAGACTCGCTGTCGAGCCTCCTCCAGCGCCAGTCTTTACAGCGAGAAGCGAGAAAGAACACAAAATTAGCTGCCATTATTTCAGTTTTACTTCCTCCCTCTCGGTCCATCCCCCCCCCTGTTTATTTGTTTGTTTGCTTGTTATTTAATTTTATGCTCAAAGTGAAAATGAAATCGCTTTTCAAGTACTTTCGTCGTTGTTGGTTCGGCCTTTGCTTTTTCATTGTTATCTATAAAGCGTGAAGTCTCAAGTAGTTTGCCTACTCACGGATGTATCTTTGTATCTCTCACTGTATCCAGAGTGCGAGTATCCGGGCTTTTCTACTACATATTTCTACTTCTACTTTTTTTGGAAGCGTTTTCTTACATTTTTTCGTTTGTTTGTTCATCCAAACGACACGACACGACAAGCTACCGAAAATCGTACACTCGCACCGCACACATTTTCACTTGAGGCGCACTTGTGGGCGATTGCTTGTACACAGAAATATATACATATGTATATACATATTTACTCTTTTTGGAGACGAAGGGTACTATAATTTTCACAAGGTGTTTGCCATGGCATAGGCCATGAGATTTTCAAAAAATTTTAATCACTTTACATATTTTTT